GAATTGTTAGGTTAGGTTACTGTAGTTGTTGTCCCAAGAGTTCTGCCAGCAGAGAAGAATATCATTATACAAAATACTTTTGATTTTGCTATGGCTGAGCATATTGTATATGAGATCTAACATATTATCATTGGCAGCAGCTTTTGCCAGCTGATCCGCTCTTTCGTTTCTGGCAGTGCCTTGGTGCCCACGGATCCAGCTGATACTATAACTGTTTGAGGAAAGACAGGAAAATTCCACATATTGCATCAATCTTGCATTATCTCTAATTGAATGGACTAGCTTAACACTGTGTATAAATGGCAAAGATAATCTTGAGACATTGTGCTATGGAACAGACAGATATACAATTGGCACTTTTGAACTCCTTTAGGGAACCTACTCTCTCTTGTGCAACATCTTTTTGGACAATCTACTCATGATTTAATGCCGTTGCATCCATTGTCATGATTGCCTAGAAAATCATTCTCTGCATCTCTTCAAGTAATCAGAGAAAAGCAACATGTGGCAGCTACTACTTCTCCAAGAAATTAATCTGAAAATTTGATGTAAGGCCAATCAGTTAGACTGAGTACTGCACCTAGAAATTGTGTTTCAGATACAGAATGTAACACTGCAGAGACTCCACATTTATATATAATTAGAACTGGTGACAACAGAACTTTTTGTTGCAATAGTGAAGTGCTATTATCAACCAAAGCAAGGATATACCTGAACACCAGATAGCAATTAGATCTAAGTCTTCATTGCAGTCAGGAAGTGATGGAAGCTCAGAACATCATTCAGTTCACGTAGTTCAGTTTCTGGATTCAACAGCATCAAGTGAGATCCTTGACAAAAAGCTACTTCATTTGCACTCTAATGGAGTGACTACTTGCTCTGGGAGAATAAGTCATCCTCCAGAATGATTGGATTTATAAATGAACATTCTCTCTCTCTTTATTTTTTTTCTGTTTATCAGTTCTTTTTTGTTGTAAAGGAAGATGTCAAGTGTAAATTAATTTATATTTTTTAGTTTTTGTAATGAGAGGATGCTGAGCAGTTGCAGGTGCCTAAAGAAATAAATGCTAGTTTAGAAAGATTAAAATCCTTCTAAACCACATCTTGTTTTAAACTAACTCAAATGTTTAGTGCATTTTCCAATCATTAACAGTGTGACCTGTTAATACAGTCTAAAGGATCACTGAGGTGACATCAGAAGGCCTATTAACCACCATCCTATCAATGTATGTCAGAGACCCAGACATGAAAGCCCATTTTGATTGGACAAAAATCCTATATAGAACAGCAGATAGATCTCATATCAAAAATTTCTAGAATGGAATTAAAACTTTTATATAATCTTTATCCTTGTATATATCACACATCTGTGAAGACATGATATCTATTTGTTTGTAATTTAGAAGGCATCCTATGAAATATTTATTTTCTTTTGTTTCTGTTATCAATTCATTTGTAAAAGTAATAGTAAAAAAAGGTGAAAAGGAAAAACCAAAATATTTGAAATAGCATTTTGTAAACTGCAAGACTCAAAAATAATAGCCATCAAATGACAAATTTTTTTATTATTTTGCTTAAGATTTTGTTTTATTTATCAAATAATATTAATAAAATAAATAAAAATAATAATAAGAACAACAGTGATGAACCCTCACTAGTCATTGCCTTGCTGAGATGAGAGAGCTCAGTATTTTCAATGAACCATAGAGCAAGACTAGTGGAGAATATGCTTTCAGAGGATTGTCTATGCCAGTAAGGTATAAAGGAGAAAATGAAAGTAATAATGGACCCATTGCTGAATCACTTGTATAATATTTTTGCATTTACATGTACAGTACCTACAAAAAGAAACAGGAACGGGCAAGCTATTCCAAGACTGAAAATACAGGAGGATACAAAGGAAACATACATAGAGGAAAAAATATACAAGGCATATTGCCACATAACCCATTACTATATACCCCATGCCTTTATAGCAGGTGTTAAAATCATGACATTACTTACTAGTAAGGAATTATTATTGGTATTAATAAGAGTGATTAATATTCTTAAATAATATTTACTGTTGTTTTTAAAGTATAATTTATCGATTTATTGATGATTGATGATGTTCCTATTAATTGGTACATTCAAATGGATTTATGGAATTGGTAAATGTAGAAACTAGAATTTTGTTGGCTAAATGAAGACATTGAGATGCTTTAAAATTGTTGTTAAATGAAAAACATCTGTTGTTCTTGAACCAATGCTGAATCAGTGATGTACTGGTGAACATATACAAGATCCATCCATCCAGAGATTAAATATTCAAATGGCTTTAGAATGCTTGTGAGACATTATTATTCAATTTGGAAAAAGTAAGATCTGATGAGGAGACATTGTGGTCTTGAAAAATGTTTTATCATAAAATAAATCTGACTCTTTAAATCTATTTTAATGTTTTTTGGATATTTTTTTATGGACTTGATAAATATAGAAACTGGATCACTATATTTCCTCAATTCTACATACAGTTTTTTAATCCAATTTTACTTGTCTGAGATAAAGATGCATTATACAATCAATGATGTTTTATATTTGGAGTTCAAAACAATGATTGGCTTTCATTGTAATTCAACCATGAAGTGCATTATGTATCAACAGTACACATTTCACTTATATTGCTCAAAGGGTATGTCAGTTCAAATTCTTTGATGGTAACTAGCATTTACTCTAAACTCATTTTTTAACGTTTAAACTAGTTTTAAGATGATGCAGCATTAAAAGAAAGGTTATTGTATATGCAGAGAAGCTTGGAAACAGAACTGCATAACATTACATATTTCTGTGTTTCTTTAACTTGTTGTTAGTTAAAAAAACTTAATAAACTAATTATTTATAAATTTTTTCTATAAAAAAACTTAAAACTAGAGTGTGTCTTAGAATTGAAGAAATATGGTATTTGTTGAGACAATGATGAAAGTCTATCTTTAACTATGCCACTTTTTATTGTAACAGATAACTGAATATGACTATTCTAACACATATCTACAAGGCGTGTCCGGAAAGTAAGTACCGTTTTGGAAAAACTCGTATAAAAAATATTTTTTCAAAACAAAATTTATTTTTACATGAAAGAGCATGTCTGAAACTATTTTTCTATATAGTTACCACCATTGTTCAGACATTTTGTCATATCAGGAAACCAACTTGTCTATACCCTCTTCAAAGAAAGATGCCGCCAGAGAAGACAGCCACTGCTGAACATCGGTTGTTGCAACAATCTCATGCAAAACAGTATTTGAAATTTGTGGAAACTCATCACAAAGCAATCTTATTGTGAACCGTCTTTTTTCAGGAATTTTTTCATTCACTTTTGCAACCAAACCATCATTGACAACAGAAGGCCAGCCACTCCATGCTTCGTCATGAACATCAGTTCGTTCAGCATTGAATTGTTGAACCCACTTTCTAACCATTCCATCACTCATTACATTTTCACCATAAATCTCTACAAGTTGATGATGAATTTCAACTGGTTTAACATTCTTTGTGTTCAAAAACTGTATTACAGAATGCACTTCACAGTTGGTGGGATCGGCAATAGTCTTAAACATTTTGAACGCTCACTAACACATGGAAAAACAACACAATCTGGCTGTAATGGCGTCACTGGACTGACAATCAACCAGAGAGACGTGTGCGCAGGTGCTGAACTGCGATACTACCACTGCAATGGTGTTAGAACGAAATGGTACTTACGTTCCGGACATGCCTTGTAGAAGACAACTAGATGTCTCTACTCATTGATACTAGTATACACTTCCAAAACTGGTTCCTTTTATTTTTCTTACCCTTTTTTGTTTTAAGTGTCTCACTAAGTGTTGTCACTTTACAATCAGTCAACATTATTATTATTATTATTATTATTATTATTATATACATACATACATATATACAGTATTTACTTGTTGCATATAAGATGATCTCGCATATAGGACGAGGTGTGACTTTAAAGATCAAAACAAAAAAAATTAGATTTATTAATACAATTCTAATTTTATTTCATTTAATTGTAAATAAAATATTATCAAATGCACGTATTAAGGCAAATAAGCATGTTTTCTTGATGCTATAACATTTTGTCTACTCAGACTTGCCCTCCGAAGCTTCATTACAACTCTTTTTTCTTTCACTCCCACTTCAGAAAGCATTGTCCTTTGACCTGTCAAGTGAATTTGTAATTCAGTATTTCCTGAATGACTTTGCTATCAGCTCTTGAGGAGTTCTTTTCCACACACCTGATACCCACATAACAAAATCAAAAGATTATAATGTGCATGACTAGAAAAAGTATTTTTAATGATTCAGAATGTGCAAATATTTATTAAAAATACAAATTTAACAAATATGAAATAACTATATTTATAATTATTGCTAAGTGATCAGCTGTTTTCGGATAATCTCTTTGAAAGTGACAGTCACCTTAATCTCGATATAATGGTAGCATGAACTATACATGGTTTACAAAAAGTATTGCAAAAATGCAAAGAATTCTTTGCTTGCACATATAAGACAACCTAGGTTTTTGAAGCGGTGAAAAATGAATAAAAACCTTGTCTTATATGCGAGTAAATATGGTATTTACTTTCCTTTCTCTAATAGTATTAATTTACATTCAATTAGTTGTTAAAATTGTAATTACAGTGTCCCAAAAGTCTTAAAAAAAAAATAAATACTAGTAGTGTTAATGTACCATAAATCTGAGAGACTACCTCATGTGCATTTATGTTACAAAGAAATGGCAATCACGTAGAGTATGTTTTGTAAATAAAGTTACATTTTGCTAAAAAGTATTAATTTTTCCTATGTATGAATACTTTTGGGACGTCCTGTAGATCATTTAATGTTAATTTTTTTATTTTGTATTTATTGTACAATATGGTTTGAATTTTACAAATAAACAATAGAAACATTTTAGAATTAAAGTCATAAAAATTATCTTACAATTATTTTTATAGGTTTAAAGATGGCAGTGAGTTTGAAGCTAGTGAAAGATTTAAAGTTGCCTATAGTGATGGAGAAGACACACTAGCTTTAGTTTTTCAACATGTCACTCCTGAAGATGCTGGCTTATACACTTGTGTAGCAAGCACTAGTGGTGGAAAGATATCCTGTAGTGCAGAACTTACAGTGCAAGGTAGCTTCAAACCAAAAACAACAAGAGAAAATAGTTAAATTTGAAAAATCTGGTATTTAAGGATAAATTTTGTAAAAACTGTTGCATGGTTTGTCCAAATTAATGCATGATCAATTTTAAATAAAGATACTATGCATAATGCATGGTTGTCTTATAATTTGATCTATTCTCAATGGACAAAACTTTATAAGTGAATTAGTTTTATTTTTATATTTAACTTATATGTTATCTATACTTGAAAAATATTATATTATCAATTTTTGAAATATTTTTTCATCAAGAAGAATCATCTTAATTTAATGTATTACTATTTTATTCATTAGATAATATATTGTATTATGCAATACATTAAGATACTTACCAAAATAATTTAATAGGAGTAAAACACTGTCCTTTGGTGTTAAAGGAGATGAAATAAAGAAGAGAAAAAGAAAATATTAAGTTTAAAAAATATATAATTACAAGCACTTTTCTTTATAATAGAGAACTTGGTTCTCTATTTATAATAGAGAACCAAGCTGACACCAGAATAACAGAAGATGATTTTGTATTATCATTGAAAGTGCTTGTAATTATATTTATTTTTTGAACTTAATATTTTATTTTCTCTATTTCATCTCCTTTAACACCAAAAAGACAGTTTTTTTACTCATATTGAATGGTTTTATAAAAAAAATTTAATGAGAAACATTGAATTCTTAATCCTGAGACTAAATTTCAATTCTCTGTTATTTTTACAACATTATGCATTATGTTGTATATAAATAGTATGAAATTAATTTAAATTAAGAAAAGTTGCTTGAAAAAGTTATAAATCTTCATACTAGATAATTTATCTTGCTCATATAATTATCTAGTATGTTGTTATCTGATTTTAAAACCTAGTATGATAATTAGAGTAAGCATCTTTTTATTTAGAAAACTCTGAAATATTTAATTTTAACATTATTTGAATATTTATTAAATATAAAATTATCATTAACTTTCTTTATAAGAAAAGTGTTTCACATTTATAAAAAAAAGTTGATGCAGAAATTTTAATTTATTTACATGTCTTAAGTTGTTTTGAACATTTTGGATTTATTAGTTCACAGACAAAATTTTATCTTGTGTTTTAATCTTAAATCTTGAAATCACTTGCATTTTGTTTCAGTTTCTTTTAATTAGCTACTGTATATATTAATTTTTTTGGGTCAAATCTTTAAAATTATATTAAATACATTTTTGTATTTGACATGTATCATTTAATATTTGCAAATTATGGAGAAAGTTAAAACATGATTATATTCCCATTCAAAATATTTATTATCTATTATAATCAAGTGTTTGATAATATTTTAAAATAATTATTTGGTTATATTAATAAGATTATTAATAGTTATATTTTGATGTTTTAATTTCATTAAAGTAAATTTTTAAAATTTTCATATTTCCTATACTTAGTAAAACATATGCAAGTTAAAAATTCTTAGATTTTTTTTTTACATTTGACAGCAGATTTAAAATTTGACAGTATTGAAGATAAATTATGTTGATCGTTTAAAGCAAGATTTAAAAAAAAAAAACGTATTTTTAGGTGCTGAATTACCTCGAGATCATGAAGCACCAGTTCTTACTGGTAAATTGGAAGATGTTGAAGTCAGTGAAGGAGCTTCTGCCATGTTAGAATTAAAAGCCACTGGTTATCCAAGACCTAAAATAACATGGTATTAAATTATATGGATAAATAATTATGTTTAAAATTCTAAACAGTAGATTTTTAAAAATGAAATATTAATCAAATTATTAAATTATTATGTGTAAAAAACACATAATTATTAAACACATTTTGCATTTAGAGCTAGAACTATTTAACATGACTAGGACAAAACCTTTCTCACTTCATTTCTAGCCATTTGTACTCAGCATTTAAACAGCTAGAAATGAAATGAGAAAGGTTTTGTCCTAGTCATTTATGTCTTTTTTGTTATGATTTCAAATTATTATCATTAATACTTACATATTTAAAGTACATTTTATTAATTATAGGTTCAAAGGCAAAGAGGAATTGACTGCAGGTGAAAGATATAAACATTTATTTGAAGGCAGTGATACTTACACACTTGTTATTAAAAAAGTTCAAAAGAATGATTCTGGTCAATATTCTGCTACGTTGAAAAATGATATGGGTGAAATAAATTGTTCTTGCCAATTGACAGTAAAATGTAAGTGAAAAGTGATATTCTAGTTTAGTATATATTTATTAATATAAACTATTGTGAAATTCCTAATATAAAAATTCATTCAAAGTTTGTTCTCTACACATAACAATTTACCAATCATAGATTGTTAGTTAATTGCTGAAAATTGCTTAAATTTATCATATTAGGATTCAGCAAATTAATTAATTAATCCACTTTTAACCTGATTAGTTTTGAACTCTTTTCACTCTGCATTCATTAAAAGAATTTTTTTTGCATGCTTATCATGGATTCAGTTAATAAAGATGGGGATGAGGGACAGAGCCTGATATATCTAGGACAAACTATTCATGAAAATTTCTGTGGGTCTGATATAGATTTGAATATTCAGAGGTCATATGTGGGGCCGAGGGGGGAGAAATAAAAAAAACTCGATGAACGATAATATGTGATATATATTGTCATCATCTCCCTTGCCGTTTGGATTGCCGTGTGGTAGCAATCAACAACATGTGGAAGCAGTTGAGTCAGAGATAGATGCTTCGTTTACAAACAACACAACCGTTTATTAAACACGAAAGAAGCTTACAAGATTTCTGCGATCTTGGAAGTTCTGTGGCGGCTGCGGCCTCTGGGTCTTCTTCTCCTTTCCAAGATAGTCCCATTTTGAAGAAGTGTCCCTTGTTTGTGAATGAACCATTCCATCACGTCTCGATGACTCCGGGACGATGCAGTCAACTTCCGTTGATGGAAAGATGTCGATCGGAGGTCGGGAGATGGAGACGAAGATGGGTGCGAGACACACACAACAACAGGTCCATCACTTGGAACTTTCAGGAGAAGAAGCCATCGCGTTCATGAATTTCCGGGGTTTTATCTGTTTTCTCTCAGATTTCCCTTTTCGATTGGTCTCTCCTCGTCACCTGATGACAATTCGAAACCTTTTGGGTGCGGGGTCAAACTTTCGATTTTGACCGGGAGAGGTCAAAATCGAAGTTTAATTCGATCTCCAACTGGAAATGGTCGACGGACTTACATTCTTCTATTGTTTAAAAGTTAGCGTCGTATTTTCATAAAATAAATCTATTTCTAACTATTATATATTTTTTTCTTTAAAACAATTATTTTAACGCGAATTTTAGTGAGGGTTCGGACCTGTCCAGAGCCTCACACATACTAATATCTTTATATCCTGATCATCTGGCCATCAATCTGATAAATTTAAGCAATTTTTAACAGTTGTGATAAATATGAAATGAGGTTAAATCAGTTATTATTTATGAAGTCAGTGAAGCACATTTTATTTCTTAAATATCTATTACTTTTAAATAGAAATTATTATTGAATTTTTATAATATAAAAATGAATTATTTAATCAATTGATGCAAAGGTAGTGCATATCAAATATAATAAATTATATTTAATATGACATAAATTAAAAAATAATGAATAAACTATAATTAATTAAAAGAAAGTGCAAACTGGATGAGATTACAATAAAAGAAGCAACTAATACCTGTAATCCAGTTAAAATGAACACAATCTGTGAGATAAGCAGAGGGCCATAGGGACGATCCCTAATGACCACTTACACTGCACAGGTTGTTAAAACCTGATCTCTGTGTTGGTGGATGGCTTAGGAGGGCAAAAAGTGAGTGGGGAGGTTGTGAGTACATGGACAGCTGTCTTCACAGGAAAAGGATCGACAGGTCAACAGGTTAACAAACACAACATTTATTAATGTTAGTAACTGAATTTTGTATGTTAACTAAAGTTAACATACAAAATTCAGTTACAAGTCTATCTGACTGAACACTACTTGATTAAATGTGGTTAAATGCAATAAAATGCTACTCGGGGGAGAGAGTTCACAAAGTTCTAACAAATACCTCTATGTATAAGATTGGAAGGGATGGCTGAGGTATGGTGGTCATATGTCTTCTCCAATGGAATTTCGTTCCTGAACATGGAGATTGACGACACAAGTACAGAAAATAACTTCCTTGGGTTTGTCCACTCTATGTTTTCGTTAGTGCCAGCTTTTATAGCGTTAGGGTGGGAAAGCCATCCGTTTGTTGACGATGACTTGCATTTCAGCTAAGTGTCAACTTTTTCATCTAACTGTTGATAGTTGGAGGAAACCTCTGCTCTGATACTCTGCGAGGAGTTTTTCTATGGGGGTGTTTACAAAATTTCAATCAACGAAAAAAAAAATGGAAAGTTTCCTTTCATTTACAAAATTTCCACTCTAAAATCTGTGGTCTCACAAATCTATATAAATAAAAATGTAATTTATGTTTCATCATATGTTTATAACTCCAGCAACATTGTTCTAACGGTCCAAAAGGGATACGAATTTAGTTCAGCACCTGAAGAAGGCCTTGGTGGAGGTCGAAAACGTTAGTAGGTTTTGTGTCGAATACAACACTGTTAAAAAAGGTTTTGTGTGTGACAATTTACTACTCAAGACAAGTTCTGTTTTATTTAAATTTTGTTTTTGAATTTTATTTGATGTAATATTCCATAACCTGAAGATAGTTGTTAAAAACAATTGAAGATGTTTGTTCTTATAATATAATAACTGGTTACAGCTGTTAGTTGCTGGTTTTATTGTAAACAATAATAGGATAAGAAAGTTGGAAAGACCATTTCACATCTGGGCACTTTGATTTATAATCATTTGTTGTGAATTGAAGTCATAGAGAACAAATTTAATTACACACTGTCCAGTGCTCAACTTTTTACTATTTTATCAGTTGTTGAAAGTGGGTTTCCCAAAAACACTTAACCTTTCAAAAACAACAAATCATTTAATATTCCACCTTAAAACATAAAAATTTCAAAGACCAAAGAAAATTCAAATATCATGCACATTTTGTAAAAAGTTTAAAATATCATTCTTGTGTTTAAATANGAAGGTCACTACATACCTAGAAAACTTATTAATTAAGTAAATATAGTTCTTAATGATCAATTTTTAAAATATACAATGCTGATGCAAATCTGTTGCAACATAAGCAAAATCTGTTTCACCAATGAGACATTTTCAGTGTGGAATTTTCAGTTGTGGAAACAGGGTGCATAGTTTGCTAAGTAAATGTTAGTGACAAAACTTGCAATTTGAAAACAGTGTAACAGGTAATGGGTTGTGACACAATAAAATCTGTACAAACAAAATTTTATTAAAAATGACAATGGAATCTTTACAAGCAACTAACACAACCCATGTTAGCCAAGGAGTCAGTCAAATACTCAAGTGCAATACAATAAAAATAAGCAAAAACTTAAAAACAGGTACAAAATATTTTAAGTAAAACAGAAGGCATAATCTACTGCAAGGACAAGAAAAGTGGACTAAATAATTAAAACTAACTATGAATACTTATCTTAATTAATTAATCTTAGTCTTAATTAGTACCATAAACTGGGGTTACTTTGTGACAAGTAGGGTAACTTTAGGACAATCACTGTTTTGAATGAATTTAAATTAAATGCCAATGCCATTTCAATGATATACAAACTGTTGTCATTGGTTCTAATACGTCTACTGTGTTGCCACATAATGTCAAAGCCCAGAAGCTCTGTTTGTTTTCCTGTTTTTTAGGCAGCCATTTTTAGTTAGGTTATGTTTTGTTTGATCAACACATGCTCCAGAAACTATCACTTGTTGAGAAAACTTTACAGTTTCTATTAAAAACAAAGATAAATATTTTGAAATAAATAACTATTATCTATTATAATCAAGTGTTTGATAATATTTTAAAATAATTATTTGGTTATAAAAAATACTTTATTGAAAAATCTAACATATAAGGGGCAACTTTGGGACAAATTCCCAGTGAGTTTTAAGGAAGAAGGATACATCAGATGAGGACACTTAAAGTGATGACATAAATTTGGAAATGGTTCCTTATGTGGAGTCTGATGACAATATGACATGAGTACCTGAGGAAATGGAAAACAAGCATCCTTTCACTCCTCTACAATCAATCGATGATAGATTACAACATGAGTTAAAACATTTANTCAATGCGCATGTGAGAAAGATACCATAGACTGGGGTTACTTTGTGACATGTAGGCTAACTTTAGGACAATCACTGTTTTGAATGAATTTAAAGTCAATGCCACTGCCATTTCAATAATATACAAACTGTTGTCATTGGTTCTAATGCTCCTATTGTGCTGCCATGTAGTATCAACGCCCAGAAGCTGTTTGTTTTCCCGCCTTTTAAGCAGCCATTTTTAGTTAGGTTATGCTTTGTTTGATCAACACATGCTCCAAAAACTATTATTCGTTGAGAAAACTCTACAGTTTCTATTGAAAACAAAAAAGTTAAATATTTTGAAATAGATAATCATAATCTATTATAATCAAGTGTTTGATAATATTTTAAAATAATTATTTGGTTATAAAAAATACTTTATTGAAAAATCTAACATATAAGGGGCAACTTTGGGACAAATTCCCAGTGAGTTTTAAGGAAGAAGGATACATCAGATGAGGACACTTAAAGTGATGACATAAATTTGGAAATGGTTCCTTATGTGGAGTCTGATGACAATATGACATGAGTACCTGAGGAAATGGAAAACAAGCATCCTTTCACTCCTCTACAATCAATCGATGATAGATTACAACATGAGTTAAAACATTTATCGGAACGTTTGTTTTAATAAATTATGAAGTTATGAAATTATGAAATTATGGTGTTCTTTATCATGGAATGATATTAAAACAGAAAAGGGTTGGATGCTCAAGGACTATGGAGAAAAGTGGGTTGTAATTGGAAATGGCCAAATAAGGACAACATCCTGGACTATACAGTAGATGTGCAAGTCACCCAAAAAGATAAGTTGCCAGGGTATTTATTGTGTAAAAGAACTAGTAAATTATCTATCCTGAACATTATGTACAATTTGGTTTAATTTTTTTCATTGCTAATATGATTGATATGTATATAAAATATATATATNTGTATATCTCTAACTATTTTCATATGTAAAAAGATGGACTAGGAATAAAATATAAAATATTATCTAATACATGTTACCAATTGACAAAAATTCATAGTAAATAAATTTATTATATATATATTTACTGCTTATTATTTGCTTATTTGAAATATATATATATATGTTACCAGCCAAATCCGATTTCAGGCCAAACTAGTTTATCCTACACGTATCAGAATATACTAGTTTAGTCTAGGATAATCTAGTTTGGCCTAAATACTTTAGGCTTAACTAGTTTGACCTAGGCCGAACTGATTTATGTACTACAAATAGGTGCCGGTGTAAAAAAAAAAATTATTCTGTGTAATTCAAAATGCTACCACATGGTTAAAGTGTACCTAGGTAACCCCAATGTCGGTGCTTCGGTTAGGTTAACTACATTTTTAGTAGACGTTTCCTTTTTTTTTCTTTTGTTCAAGAACTACAGTGAATCAATAACTAGTGATGTTAAACAATGGGCGGCCTGCCGGCAGACACCTCCTGGAGGGGAGCTGCTGGGAGCACGAACAGTCTGAAGTGCCACTATTGGGGTTAACTATAAAAAAAAGGTACTGTACACTTTAACCCACCCTGTAAAAATAAATAAAAGATTAAATATTTTATATTACACTAAGAAACACAAACAAGTTCATTTTTTATTTTAGTTTGACTTTAAAAGTAATTTCTATTATTTCGTTTGAATTTTTGAAAATATCATCGAAAGTTAATTACCTTTAAAAGTGTATGTTACACTAAGAAACACAAACAAGTTCATTTTTAATTTTAGTTTGACTTTAAAAGTTATTTTCATTATTTTGTTTGAATTTTTGAAAATATTCTTGAAAGTTAATTACCTTTAAAAGTGGATGGCATAATAAAAAAATACAAACTGATAAGTACTGATTAGCTTATTTTTATTTTATAGTTTTGTACAAATGTTGTGTCATTTCTAATCAATACTGTTTTTTTATAATTAAGTAGACTATGTTCGAATAAATATTGTTCATCTAATTGATTGCCTTTTAATTTTATTTTAACCATTAATATACTTAAATCAGATCTGGCCAACCTGCGGCCCGTCATATTAAATTGTGTGACCTGCTAAGCGATATTATATATCTATTAAAACTTTCGTTTTCCATTTTGTGTAAACCAAAACAATTAAATAAATGAAAATTTGCATGTGTCATTGTTATAATGTGCAAGTGTGAGTACGAACTCTTGGTATAACAATGAAATCTTATTCATTTTGTATTTGTTTTACTTTTTTAAAAGCATGTTTGCCTAAATTGTGGCCCATTGTAATGTTACGCCTGATCAAAGTGGCCCGCGAAACAATTTGGGTTGGCCAGGCCTGACTTAAATAATAATTCTAAATCAGTTCGGCCTAGGATAAACTAGTTAAGCCTAAAGTATTTAGGCCAAACTAGATTGTTTTAGGCTAGTCTAGTATATCCTGACATGCGTAGGATACACTAGTTTGGCCTGAAATCAGGTTTGGCTGGTAATATATATACAGCCTATATATATACACAGTAAGACCCCACTTAATGCAGGGGACTATTTTTGATAAATAAAGATTGTTGACGGTCTAATGTTGCGACGATCCTACTTTTATACTGTTAAAAAAAAGAGAAAACACTTTGTCCTAAAGTTACCCCTACTTAAAGGGTAACTTTAGGACAAGAAAAAGGTGGGAGTATTTTTAAATTCTTGACCTGGGAGTGAAAATATTGGCGAATTTCAAGAAAATAACGTCATATTTACCTAACTAACACAATGCAAAACAGTTCGTTACAGTCATTTGATCAGAGAGGTGCAAAAATGAAAAACCATACCAAAGTAACCCCAGTTTACAGTATGTAAGAGAATTTTTAGTGATAGAGGTGAAAGTTACAGATAGAAAAACAAGTGAAAGAGAACAAAGACACCCAAGTCTTTTGTTGGATCAAGTCCTTTTCAAACAAAAATGGGAGCAGGTGTTTCATAACTTTTTCTAATATCAAAAACCTGAATGGGGATGTCTTCTCTCAAAAGATGGGAATGTTTTCTCCTCTGAAAAGAGTCTTCAAAATCCACAATCTCCTACAAAAGTATTTGATCTTCTTGGAATTTTGAAGGTCACTACATACCTAGAAAACTTATTAATTAAGTAAATATAGTTCTTAATGATCAATTTTTAAAATATACAATGCTGATGCAAATCTGTTGCAACATAAGCAAAATCTGTTTCACCAATGAGACATTTTCAGTGTGGAATTTGCAGTTGTGGAAACAGGGTGCATAGTTTGCTAAGTAAATGTTAGTGACAAAACTTGCAATTTGAAAACAGTGTAACAGGACCAACATGTATCCCAATAAACATATTTTTTCACAGCTTGACTTTGCAAGTTTTGCAGCATTCCAGCAACTTTTCCATCAATCAGCAAGTGTCACCTGAAAAAAGTTAAACAAGTCTCCTGAAATTATAGCTCAAACTCTGCAAGCCTGGAATATATCATAAAAAATAGCAACAAACTGAACCTTAAAAAAACCTATTGTAAATTCTAACGTTTTCGATCTTCACAGATCTTCCTCAGGATTCTCTAAATTGGAATATGGAAATGTAATGTTTTAAGAATTATTTAAAAAATGTATAAATGAGAATTTTTCAAAGAATTCTTTCAAAAAAAAAAAAAGTTCCATTTTTGCATTCCAATTTCGAGAATCCTGAGGAAGATTGAAAATGTTAGAATTTACAATAGATTATCCTGGAATTTCTTTTAAGGTTCAGTTCGTTGCTATTCTCCTGAAATTGGTGTATTATTTCCTGTGTCTATATGGTTGGCCCATTTTGCTGAAGTTCATACCATAGATTCAGTACAGGATATCCTTTAGCAATAAGCTTAGGAAATCTCTTGATGAGATACACATTACAAAATTTAAATTGTCCATTGGTAGAATTGGCAAAACTGTTTTCATATGGAACAATCTCCCCTAAATATAATTTTAAATTAGTGAACGTATAATTTGAATAAAATTAAATTTTTTTTGTCTTTTAGCTTCACCTGTTTTCCGTAAACAAATGAAAGACATGGCAGTAATGACTGATAAACCAGTGAAGTTTGAGGTTGAAGTTGAAGGGAATCCAACTCCAGAAATTAAATGGTAAAATATTTAAAACAATACTTTTTTCAAATGATACCTTTAGTGTAAACATCCAATATTGTCTGTTTGTAAATCATATAATCATATAAAAGTTTAAGATATTAGTCTTCTCTCATTAAAAACAAAAATATTCCTTCAATATTTTCAAAATTTAANCATAGAATAAAAGTACTTAATGAAGCAGAATTACATACTCTATTAATTGAAAAGACCAAACAAGAAGATTCTGGAAATTATTCATGTGTTGCAAGTAATAGCAGTGGTAGTCAGACAGGATTTGGAGCACTTACTGTTAATTGTATGTGTCTTTTATTAATTTTTATAGAAAATAATAGAAAATTAAAAAGTAATAATAATGATATTTTTTATTTTAGCGCCCGCAAAATTTACACAAAAAATGAAGAGTGTTGAAACTGTAGAGGAGGAAACCATAACATTTAATGTTAAAATAGCTGGAAATCCAAAACCAAATGTTAAATGGTAAGTAAAAATACAAAAATCAATATTATCAAAATATTGATTAATATCATTGATGAATACCAAAATAAAACTGCTTTATTATGTAGCTAGGAATTACATTCAACATTGTGTATAAGCTGAAGTAACTTAAAACAGCAAAAACATTCCTGATAGAATAAATAGTTTGATTTCCTAAAGAAGTAGTAGTAGTTTTATTGTAATTTATTTTATTTTATTGATTGATCATAGTAAACAATGGTGCTAAGATTTATGCAATATTGATTACCATAATTTCCTGCATGTAACTCACAATAGCAAATACTCTGCAGAAAATTGCTAGAACAAAATATCAGTTACATAACCCAAATTGCCATATACTCTGCACTTCCAAACGTTGCCATTGAAAACTTGTCACTGGCAGTGGTATTCCACCTTCAAACATAAAGATTTCACAGACGAAAGAAAATTCAAATATCATGCACATTTTGTAAAAAGTTTAAAATATCATTCTTGTGTTTAAATAATTACAAAATGACTTGAGAATCAAAGGAGTGACACTCATTTGACAATATAAAAATTTTGAATATAAATTATTCACTTTTTACTTAAAAGCATAAGCTACACATGATGATGATAAAATGTTTTAATATTAGTCTGCAGTGACATCGTGAGATGTATGATTTTAAGCAATGGGTTGTGACACAATAAAATCTGCATAAACAAAATTTTATTTTATGAAAATGATACAGTTAACTTACATGGAATGTTTTATTTTAATTAAAAATTACATCATGTATATCAGTGTGTGTTTATTTGTGGTCAAGACTATCTATATGCAGATTAGAAGATATTGTCTGAGACATTCTGTTTTTTAGTATTTTTCTTATCTTATTTTCATTAGAAATTTATTATAGATGTAATTATGAAATAAGTAAAACAGAGAAAATTGAATATTTGAGACAGAACTGTTTAAATTGAAATACAAAGTGATGCCAAATGACAAAATTTTCTTCATTTTTTTACATATCAAATAATATTAATAACAGTATATGCTAAAATAAATTTGAAAAGGTAAATAAAAGGTTTTAATGTATACTTGTATATCTGTAGTATACTTAACATTTGAAGAATCACTTGGGATCAAGACAAGTCTGGAGTGACAATGAGACCATTGTGAGTTTTGATAGGAATGATTTTCTTAATACATATAAAGTAAATAAATAGTAAAGAAAGTAATTTTGATTAATGCAAACTAAACTTCGTTTATCTTATTTTACAAGTGGGATTTCTTTAATGTCATCATTATTGATTTTACTAGGAAAGTTGAGCACATTATAATATTTAATGACCTGGATTTGAGAATTTATCCTTTAACTCTTATAAAGAACTAATGTGCCAAAATCAACATTAGTTAGCTTCTAAATAGTTCTCTGAGAATCACTATATAGAAAGAAGAATTTACTGGACATTTATCAACTTTCAAATTGAGATCAATATTGAAATATGAGGATTTAATATCATCAATGAAAATATGGATTGACATACAGAAAATGGGAAAGAACTAAAGGCAAAGTATACATACATTGGTCTTTGATGGTGTTTGGAAACATGATGACAAATGATATGTATGACATAAGGCTAGACTTAGCTTTTTTCCGTGATAGGTACAGGCTAGAAATTCCTAGAATGCTGCCTTTTCTGATGTTGCCTAAACATAAATGCTTTTGACACTAACTTGGAATTTAACTACAGAATATTATATGAAGTATATTAAATTTAGTATACATTTTTAAGTACATCATGTATATTGGTGTGTGTTTACATTATAATTGGTGAAGACTATCTATCTGATGTAATTAGATAATTTAAATCAGTATCTTTATTTATGTATATGACTTAATAATTAATTATAAATAAGTAACTAATTCCAAATATTGCAATTTTTTGTGAAATTCTTATACTCTGCAGTCCAATTTTGCCATCCCTCAAAATCTGTCCTTCTTGGTCAATACCTAGTGTGTCTATTTAGAAATTTGGTCTTGGTACAGCATGTAAGGCACTACTACTCAGACTGTGGTTTGCAGACCACAGTTTTAGTTGAGACCAATTTATTACTGGGCTTTTCAATTTTGTTTAAAATTTCAAAATTTTATATATTGCATTAATAAAACTACTAAAAATGTCTTTAAATGTTTTTTAAAAACATACTTTTATAACTTATTTTATTATTATTATTATTATCAATATTTAAACACTAAGTGGAAGGGATGAATTGGCAATCAAAATTTGTTTAGAAAAGTACTTGAAAATGGCCCATTATTAGAACAAATTTTGTTGTTGTATTTTTCTTACTAGTTTAATCTAAAAATTAAAATTAAAAAATGCATTTGAATTTCATTCTCTCTATTTTATAATTATTTTTATTTAACTTCACAAAAATACTGCTCTGCAAGCATGGGAAAAAAATAAAATAATCTATGTCCACAAAGTTTGAGAAGCACTTATGTAAAGGATTTTCCATGTTTTTAAAAAGACACTCTTGATAAGCTCAGACAAAAGAAAAATTGTTGAGTGAGTTGATTGCAATCTAAAATTGACAGATAACATGCATCTGCTTTTAAATTGACTTTTAAATACAGATAATCAATGGACTATTTGCAGGAAATTATGGTGAATTTTTACTTTATTTTTATAAATATGAACTTATATAACAATTGAAAAATTATAATAATATGGTTTAACTGAATTATGATTTTATTAATATAATTTTTTACAAAGGATGAAAGATGACCAAGAGCTTAAAATTGATAACAAGCATCTTAAAGTGACAGAAGAAGAAAGTAATTCCTACATATTAACTATAGATCATATTGTTAAAGATGATGCTGGTAAATATTCTTGCAAAATTACAAATGAACATGGATCAGACCAAACTGATGCAAATCTAGCTGTTGCTGGTAAGATTATTACTAAATAGATTAAATTTTTTAAATATTTTCACTCCATCAATAATAAAAAAGTTTTAAATTTTTATAATTATGACCATTTCCAAACTTTTAGGTTTGTGTAAAATGTAAATAGAAACTATGTAAACTATATTATAATTACAGTCAAACTTTGATTTAGTGCCACTATTCACTCTGAAATTGACACTAAATTGAATGTGGTGTTAAACTAAAGTAACTTGACAATAAGAATTATATATACTGTAAAACCTGTATAAACCAGAATGGTATGGTACCAAATTATTTTTTCTGTTTTGGCAGATTTCCATTTTGAATAGGTTTTAATATTTCTTTTCTCTTTTTTTTTATCTTTAAACTACATCAGATAAATATCACACATTTTTTATCTTTAAGTCTTACTATAATCTGGAGTAAAGTGGTGCAAAAGTACTTAACCAATGATGGCAACCGAAGATAGGTCAAAATTGAATTGGAAATTTAACTCCAAATTGTGTCAAATATTTAATTTGAGTAATTAAAAATAACAAAAAAAAAATGCTTACAAATTTCACTTTATTTAACTTTTTAATGTATATAACAAAAATAAGTGTAACTGTATAAATAAGTGTAAAGATGATGATAATATGATTATAATGGAAACAAATACTTTGTTTAATTGGAAATCTGTTATTTGATAATTTGATGATAATTTTTTTTCATTCTGAGGTTCACAATTACTGATCTCTAAAACTTCTCACAACAGCTTTAGGACCTTGCCATTAAACATTACAAATTCAGTTTAGAAGTCTATCAAATATTTTTTTTATAATTTGTAAAAACCTAAAATTTTCTAAACATTAAATGTTGATACCTTGAAATCATTGTGAAGGTCATAAATTTGCCATCATTATCCTAGACTGTCTTTTCAGAGAAAGTTACTCTCAAGCAATTTCATGTTGTTTTGTAGATCATTTACATTTCTGTTGTAACTAGACAAGTTGAGACAAATTACAATAAATAATGCTGATTTTACTGTTGCCTTTTAGTGTGCCATTATTATTTCATTTGCTATGTCTGTACTTGCAGTGGAGTCTATATAAACAAAAGTTACTGTCACAACTTTGTCACACTTACCCCAGCATTTGATTTTATTTGGATTTTCCTATTTAGCTATTACAGTGGAAGGTATATCCTCCAGCATTATTTTTAAAAATCTGGCTTAACAAATAACACTCACTTGGAACTTGTGATGTTTATGACCTGTTACTATAACCAGATAGTAGCAAGATTGTGGCCAAAGTTTTCAATGTCAAAATGTGAATGTCGGACGTTCAGCACCGCCATCCCGTAAACCTAGAAGTTTGACAATGGTGTTTGGAATGCTGCACATGATTCCATTGATATACCAAATGTCATTGTCAAACTAGGCTTACAGGAATTCATCACTGAATGTCCGACATTCATGTTTTTGCATTGAAAACTTTGACTGCAACCTTGTTAGTTATTCCATCAATTGATTTTTGATATCAGTTAATTTTTACTCTGTTTTATTGGCTAAAACTTTCAAATTCCAGAACTGAGGGTGCACTTACCCCATCTGATCCTACATTCTTATTTATATATGCTGTATAAATTTTAATCCAGTCTCTGTCATTCTTTTTCAAACTGTTCAACAATTTGAATTTAAAAAAATCATTGTAAGTTATTAATATTATCAATAAATAGTGACATATCTATTGATATTATCAAATTATTTTAATGATTTATTTTAATAACTAGTAACTTCACATAATGCTGAAAAAATACTGTATATAACCAGAGTGAACTAAACATGTTTAAATGTAAGTAAAAACAATCACTAATTAGGTATTTTATAAATTACGCTCCAGAATATTAGGATTATACAAAAATTTAATAATACTTATTTTCTATTGTATCTCTATCTGTCTTGTAAAATTGATACTTACTGCTATATAAATAAAAGTGATATTGTGAAAATGTACAGTGCGGACAGGAAAACACATACATGTTTTACCAATTAAACAAGTTTAATTTTGTGCTGACATTGAAAGATATATATATACAGAAAAGGTTCGGATTCCATGTTAAACATGCATGTTAAACAATGCGCATTATGGCTACAATATCAGACATGAAAAAACAACACAGTTTACGCTGTCGCATCTCATGTACATGGATGACATAAAACTTTATGCATCCACACAGAAACAACTTCATCAACTCCTACAAATCACACATTCATACACTAAGGACATACAAATGGAGTTTGGCTTAGACAAATGCAAAAAACTTCACATAGAAAAAGGAATCCTGAAGAAAGAAGATTTTGCACTTGGAAATGGGGACATTATTGAATCCATGGAAGAGGGCGAGTTCTACAAGTACTTAGGATTCCAACAGGCCAAACTAACAGAACATACACAAATAAAGCAACGATTAATTAAAGAATACCAAAGTAGGTTAAACGCTATACTTAGAACACAGTTAAATGCAAAACACACAGTTAAAGCAATAAACACATATGTCATCCCAGTACTCACATACTCTTTTGGAGTTATACATTGGACTCACACAGATCTCGAGCAACTCCAAAGGAAAACAAGAACAACACTTACTAAGCATAAACAACATCATCCTAAATCCGCCACAGAAAGATTAACCCTTCCACGTAAAGAAGGCGGACGTGGCCTGATTGACATAGTTAACCTTCACTACAAACAAATACAGTCACTGCGAGAGTTTTTCTACAAGAAACAAGAAACATCACAGTTACATAAAGCAGTAACTCTAGCAGACTCAAATAACACACCATTAAACTTACACTCACAACATACAGACATGACACAACATATAAAAAGCATAGACAACATTAAGCAATCATGGGCTCAAAAGGCTCTCCATGGCAGGCATCCTTACGACCTGGCCCAGGATTTTGTTGACAAAACTGCGTCAAACAGCTGGTTAGATCGGGGATGCCTCTTTGGGGAGACGGAAGGATTCATGATTGCCATACAGGATCAGGTCATAAATACTAAAAACTACAGAAAACACATACTCAAAGATACAACACTCACAAATGACACATGCAGAAAATGTCACATCATGCCAGAAACTATACAACACATCACTTCTGGTTGCAAGCTCTTGGCACAGACAGATTACTTACATAGACACAATCAAGTAGCAAATATAATACACCAAGAGCTTGCAAAGAAACACAAATTGGTAGACATCCACGAACCATACTACAAGTATATTCCACAGACAGTATTGGAAAACAACACGCACAAAATGTACTACGACAGAGCCATAATCACAGATAAAACAATTTACCACAACAGACCAGACATCACACTCATTGACAAACACAATAAAATCACATACATTATAGACATAGCCATTCCAAACACTCACAATGTACAAAACACATGCACTGAAAAAATTAGCAAGTACACAGAACTCGCCCAGGAAATAAGGCATCTGTGGAGGATGGATAGGGTGCTTATTGTACCTGTCGTTCTCTCCTGTACAGGTGTGATACCACACACACTACACAAAAGCCTGGGAACATTACAATTGAGTAGAAATACATACATCACACTACAGAAGGCCACTATATTGAATACATGCCACATTGTTAGGAAATTCCTGAATACAGACACACACACTGACACACTTATTTAATTTTAGTTTAGTTTTGGTTGCTATGCCTTGACTCTGGTCTGGCATAGTACACAGCCACCGGTGTGAACCTAGTATAACTCTCAAAACCCAACATAATAATAATAATAAAAACACAGGCGTGCAGCCACAATATTTTGTACAATAATGATGAAAGTTTTGAAGTATTACTTTTTTATGTATCATAAAAAGAGCAAGTTAAACTCCACACCAAATATTGCAGTATAAGAACAGATGAAGTGACAAACACAAATATTCCAGATGTTTGTTAGCCTGATGACGACAATTTTGTGTCATTGAAAATACTTGTGTTATTAAAAAGTTTTTAATGCAGTCTGACAGTGTGTTAACTTTATGTATTCTTGTATTATAAATGTAGATTTGATATGTATATAGAATTATTATGTAATAAAAACAATGGAAAATTTATATTTTAAATTTTAGGGAAACCTTCATTTACTCAGAAGCTGTCAGATATAGAGGCATCTGAAAATGAAGAAGTTGATTTTAAGGTTAAAGTTTCTGGAGAACCACAACCAAAGATTAAATGGTAAAATATTTAAAACAATACTTTTTTCAAATGATACCTTTAGTGTAAACATCCAATATTGTCTGTTTGTAAATCATATAATCATATAAAAGTTTAAGATATTAGTCTTCTCTCATTAAAAACAAAAATATTCCTTCAATATTTTCAAAATTTAAATAAAAAGAAAGATTTAATTGTGTAAGAATTGAAAATAATTTAGTGGTTGGAGCAAAAATTTAAAAATTGATTTATTAAATTTTAGCAGTATTCATACTCAAACTGTTTATATTTTTCCTATAAAAATGAAAATATATTAATAACAAGAATTTTAGTTCTGTTTGATTTATATAAAATCTATGCTTTCTTAATAGCATAACAACTATAATAATGATATTATTATTTCTGTACATATTTTTAATTCCTCAATTTCGAAAATCTGTAACAAACTTAAAAGTTGCTAAATTGTCTTCTAACAAAGCTACTTTAAGAAATTTATGAGGCAACACATTTGTATGTTCACAAGAGAAATTTAATAAAGTGATTTGTATCAGATTATTTTTTAAAATATATCAGATTAATTAAATTTTGTGAAAGAAGATAATATAATCTTTTTTAAAATTTATATATTTGAAATGATATATTGTTAAAACAAAATAATTTTACATCACAACTAATTTATATTTAAAAAATTTTTGAGTAATTTAATTAATAATTATGAATTATTTTTAATATATTTTAACATGTCTTATTACTTTTATAATTATTTAATTATGCAGTTTTAATGGTAAAAGATTAAATAAATGCATTTTTTTTAGGTTTATAGATGATATGGAAATCACAGAAACAAAAAATTATAAATTTATTGAAAATAAAGATACAGGTGAATATATGCTGAAGATTAAGGATGTTAATAGTTCTCTATCTGGAAAATATACATGTGAAGCTTCTAATTCTGTGGGTAAAGAATCAACCAGTGGTACATTATCTGTAAAAGGTATGCTGAATTAATGGAATAAATTAAGTTTTTACAATTAGAGTAACTCTTTAAAACTAATTTCTTTTATCTTTAAATTTTTTCTGTTTTAGTATAGATCTTAAATAAATACCTTATATTGGCTTTTATTGTCAGAGTTTTTTTACCAAATTGTTTAGTTTTGTGATACTAATGAAATAAAATTATTATAAATTAAACAAATACAATAGTGTTCACTTATAACAAACCACCTTATAATGAACTCTCAGCTATAACAAACAAATTTTAAAAGTATGAATGAAACATCCATAAGAATAATGTCATTTTTTTGGCTACAATAAACTCATATATAGATGTACCTCGCCTTATGTCGGTAATTAGTTCCAGGAGAGGCGACTTAAGTTGAAAAACGACATAAGTCAAATTTACTTGTCTCCGAATTCACTTGTCACTAGGCTAAACCACAAATAACCATTCCCAGTTCTATATTTTATTAATAAATGCATTTTTAATAATATATGACTTATAAGAATCTATTTTAAGCTTACAAACAAATAAATTTTAATTTTTAATATAGTAAAGAAAAAAGTAATCTAAATTTATGAATTCATGTAAAGTATGTACAGTACATACTTGTAAATGTACATGTTTACAATTTGGCGATGTTTACAGTATATTGTGACTCTTTATTTGTGAATATGGTTTGCTCTAAGACATTATAAAATAAGATGATTTTGTAAGGTTAAATAACAAATACAGTTATTAAAATTATCTTGCGACAGTAGAAAATAAACAAATTTATATTAAATTTACCGAGATTGAGTGATGCTGACAACAACACCAAATGGTAGATATTGGAGCTACTGTGGAAAACACCAATACTGAGCACTTAAAGATCGCTAAATAAGACAATACAGAAACATAGATGTTTTCATGTTTTGTTCTCTAGGATTTATGATGATTATATTAACATTTACTATAAATGTACCTATGTTAATATGATTTTATGTGCTTTAATGCTTTTTTAGTGATATTATGACTTCAATATTTGTGGTGGACGTAAAGTTGAATAAAATGACTTAAACTTGATTTTTATTTTCACATGTTTTTTGACAAATGATGCATAATCGAGAACGACGTAACTTGAGGTATACCTGTATAACAAACAATATTTGGATTTAAAAAGTGAAAGTTATTGCTTATAATGAATTATGAATATAAAGAATTCTTTGGGTTATTATTAGGGTTTTTAAATAAAAACTTTTTTCTGTACCATAATGGGAGAGACATGAAAGGGTTAAAAGAATGTAAGGGATCATGACCTAAAATGACCTAATATGGGAAATGTTGCTTAAGTTGGGTTTTTTTGCTTTTAACTACTGTAACTAATTTCAAATTACACATTTCTTTACCTAATTTTTCTTCACAAATTTTTATACTCTCTTTCTACCAGTTTTCTTTCTTTACTAAGGTATTTTCTGGGATTCATCTAGTGACCCATTAACAATGAACTTAGAAATTTACACTGTCAAGGATTTTCATTTGTTAGTGCTATAAATGTTATTTTTAATCTGTTATTGAGAGTTAAATGATTTTGTTTGATTTCCTGCCCATTTAACATTTGGAAATTGAAGGTATGCTTTTGATTGGCAAGAAAATTTCAAGTGTATATATAGTATTTGAAACTTGAATTTCAAAGTTAAACAAACCACACAAAATTTAAAATTTATGCTGTTATTGGTTAGAAAAATTTCATTTACTGGCATTAGTTATAAAGAATAACAAACTGCATGTAATCTTAAGGCATATGCCTTAAGATTACATGCAGTTTGTGATTCTTGCCATTTGCTACTATTTAGAAGGAAAAAACAAAATACTTGCAAGTTTCAAATGTAATAATGCTAAAAAGCTTAGAAAATCAATGCATGAAGAATTAGATCAAGTATTGTTAAAATGGTTTTCTCAGCAGAGACTTAAAAACACAACTATTAGTGGTGCTATATTGCAGTCAAAAGAAGAGTTATTTAGGAAGCAAATTGGTAAAGAGTACTGAGTTTAATACAGTAGACGTTGGATCAAGAGGTTTAAAAAAAGACATAGTATTGGAAGCCAAAGCCAATTGTTGGAGAAGCAGCTGCAGTAAACATGGATGTGGCAGAAAATTGGTTGCAAAATAAGTAGCCCAAAATTAGAAAAAATTTCCAAGATTGTGATATCTTTAACACAGATGAAATGAGTCTTTTTTATAAGCTTACACCAAATAGAATTCTAAAATTCAAAGGAGAAGCTGAGCAGGAGGAAAATTATCTAAAGAAAGAATCACTATTCTACTAGCAGCAAATCTTGTGGGAATGGAAAACAGAAAATTGTTAGTAATTTATAAATTGAAAAAATCTAGATGTTTCAAAAAGCAACAGCTATCAGTAAATTACAAATCTAACTGAAGAGCTTGGATGACCTCTGACATTTTCTGTGGTGAACTGCAAGAATGGATGAAGAACTGAGAAAAAAGAAACAAAAAAATTTTATTTTTGATTGACAACTGCCCTGTGCATCTTGACATCAAGAATTTACACTGCATTATACCGGTGTTCATGCCACCCAATACAAGTTCAAAACTACAGCTTGAAGAGCAGCTATAGTGAATTCTGTAGAAAATGGTAAATTCTATAGATAATAGCAAAGAATCATTTTCTATAAATCTTCTTGATGCAATAAACTTTGTCCATATGGTATGGCAAAATATATCAATTCAAACAATAGAAAATTGTTTTCGACATGCTGGCTTTCTACAAATTAATGGAGAAGAATTTGATTCAGATGATGACATTCCATTTAACAAACTTTTGAAATGTAAATTTATAAATGATAAAACAAAAGGTGTTCAAGACGTGTTCCTCTGCAGTTACTGGATGCATTTTCTGAGTATGATTTTGAAAAATACTGTATGTCAATGTTAATGACAGTGTTATTAGTAGGGAACTTTTGACTGATGATGATATTCTAGCTTCAGTGTCTTCCAAAAATGATGAAATTAATGAGGATGAAGATGATGATACAACATATGCAGATGTGTCAATGTTCTGATAACAATAATTTCCAAAGTTTTGCAAAACACTGCTGTTGTTTGAGAGTTTTTACAAATGCATAATACTCAACAAAATATTTCAAATAGTTTTGCTGAGGTAGAACTATATATTACAGAATGCAATGCAACTAGTAAAAATTGACAAACAAAAATAACAGAAACCAACATCTACAAACTCGATGTAAATACGTAATATGCCAACAAGTACTGGATTATATCAAACTATTATATAAAAAGTAACAGAATTTTTAACCATGCACATTTGTATTGATGTTATAATGAGCAACTTCCTATTAATAATTTGTTACATTTTATCTTTGAGATATTAAACTTCAGTTTTTCAAAATTAGAGTAAGCTTAATTTCTTATCCAATATAATGAACATTGGTTGTAACGAACCAGTTCCAACGGTCCATACAGGTTCATTGTAAGTGGACACTACTATATTATTAATACCATTACTATATTATGTTATTTAATATTATTAATAGTGATTAATGTTAAATAGTATCATTAGTAAGTCTGTATAATATAAAAAATTTAAAATATAACTTTAAATTAATTGGCTTAAATTTTCTATAGATACAGATGTTTTTTAAGTATTCATTTCATTTTTACATCAATAAGAGTTTCATCAACCTTATTCTTGCATTGACTCCCATATAGAGAATATTTTTTTCAATCAGATCAATTTTATTTTTTAAGATTTTGCATAATATATCAAGTAAATTGAATAAAACTGACTTCAACTAGATATAAATTGAAAAAATTAAAAATATTAGTTTAGTAACAATTTTTAATTTGAAATATTTTTGATATATATCTTTATGATTCCAAACTTTAGTGGATCCATTAGTGAGAAATAAAGCTTTAGATTCCATATCATCTTTTAATTTAATTAACTTCTCTTGCAAATTATCAAATCAGTTAATGAATTTCCCACATGATTGTTATTATTATTCTTTGTAAATTATCTGAAATTCTCAAAAAAGTACCATAAATATCTGACTTTATCATTGACCTCCAGTTGACTCCATGCATTCCATTGACCCCTTTCAATAGAAATTGAAAGGGATCATTGATTTTGGGAATCCCTGCTTGTAAGGCATGAGATTACTACTCCCAGATAACAAACAAAGCAACCAATAAAATTGATATAATTGATAAAATATCATTAAATAGTATATAATTAGTATAATATGTAATATTTGTATTATCATTAATATTTTTATTATTTTGATTTGTTGAAATATGTTCATATTTACACTAAATATCTTTGGATGTAATTAAGCCAATAAATATTTAATCTAGTCAATAATAAATTATAAATTTTGAATAAAATATACATTAAACTTTTTCTATTAAATTTAAATTTAATTTAAAACTAAAATAAAATGATTATATGATACAGAAAGTGCTGAGCCACCAAGTTTTGTTCAGGGATTAAAAGATGTGACAGCAGTAAATGGAGAGGATGCAAAATTTACAGTGAAATTAAAAGGAAAACCAAAGCCTACAATTAAATGGTAATTTATATAAATTTAACATTTAAAAGATAAAATTATTGGAATTAAACTTGCATATTTTTTGATACTTTTTATTGAATAAATATAACTGGCTTTTATAACATTTACAAGTTTGAAAATGTTTGTTTTTTAACATTTGTAATGCAATATAAAATAGAAAAGTGTTATTGAAAAATTGACACTTGCTGATAATTTTAACATTTTTATTTTAATTATAGTTCTAAAATACTTTTACTACACATTACAGTAAAACCTGTAATAGTTGTAATTTGATAGGACTATCTTATTTTTCCATGTCTCACAAGTTTACCACCATTGACAGAATATAGTTTTATCAGTTTTCTACTGTTCTGTTTAAAAAAAGTTCTTGATCTTTAGCTTTTCCAAATTCCTTTGAAGTATTTATGTAACTGAAAATTTGCATTTGATTTAAAGCATCAAACACAAACTGTTATATTAACTGGTCTTTTCTATCAATGTCATCATCATCTTTAGTCTGAGAGTCCACAATGTCATGTTTATATTATCACTTTTCACGGAATAAATACATAAGCACAAAAATAGAAGCTTGAAATAATGATACAAATGAAAATGGAAGACCAAACCCTTCAGCATGCTTTGAAATAATCTCTAATGAAAAATAATTTATTTCCTGATAGATGGCATTGCATTATTGCAGAAATAAAGAACACACAGGGATTTCTGGCTTTTGCATCTATACTTCCCTGTATTTGGGTTGCAATAGCATTATTTTTTCCATTTTTCCTATGTCTCACAGGTTCCAGCTTTCAGAGAACATTTGTTAAGTAATTGTTTGTTGTAATTGTAAACATTTGTTAACGTAATTGTTTTAGTGGAAAATATTTGAACTTTACTCCTCTGGAAGATTTCTGCTTTTATTATTTATTTCTTCTTGTTTATATCTGCAGAATATTTACAAAATTTTATTCCTGCAAAGACAATTAGTAAAAATATCATTTACATTTTATTTACAAAAAATTTGAAATAACTGATTTGATGATTTAGTCCAGTGATGGAAAACCTGTGACCTGCATTGAATGTTTAGAAAGTATTAGATTTTTATAAATTGTAAAAAAATATCAAATATTTTCATATAAAAATATCAAACTTTGCATATGTAATATGAAAACAGTCCTAAAGAACTTTTGAAATGTAAATTTATAAATGATAAAACAAAAGGTGTTCAAGACGTGTTCCTCTGCAGTTACTGGATGCATTAGTGGAAGGTATATCCTCCAGCATTATTTTTAAAAATCTGGCTTAACAAATAACACTCACTTGGAACTTGTGATGTTTATGACCTGTTACTATAANTTACTCAACTTAAATATTTAACCCACAATTTGGCATTTCTAAAATTCAATTTTGATCAATTTCTGAAAAGAATTTGACCTCATTGTTCCAGCATCATGGATGCTAGATCAACAGATCAGATAACTTCAAATTTTTTGTCATTAGTTTTGCAATAAATAATAGATTAAAAAGCTAAACAAAGTAAAATTTGTAAGCAGTTTTTATTGTTTTTTAATTACTCAACTTAAATATTTAACCCACAATTTGGCATTTCTAAAATTCAATTTTGATCAATTTCTGAAAAGAATTTGACCTCATTGTTCCAGCATCATGGATGCTAGATCAACAGATCAGATAACTTCAAATTTTTTGTCATTAGTTTTGCAATAAATAATGTAAGAAACAGCAGAATTTCCAAATAATCATAGCTATTACAATAACGTTAGGCTAGCCTGGATGAAGTTACTAAAAGGAGATTTAATTGAATTTTGAGCCAAAATGAGTAATAAAATATTGTTACAGTTAAAAAGATGACAATAAAGCAGTAGCATTAATTTCTATTAGTAATCAACTTCTGTCTAGTTAAACTTATAAACAACTGAAAGAGCTTTTCATCATCTTGACCATGCCTTAAGACTTTTGAAAAAGACTATTTGAATAAAGAATCTTCAAATACCAGATTAATATAAAAATATCACTTACTAAAACCAATAACCGGTATTAAATAATCGTAAAATGTACTGCGAACGTTTTCGGTTCTATTTGACTATTTGACTAAAGACTATTTGAATATGAAAAGGAACTTCACAGTTAGAAGATGATGTTAGTATGTTTTGCTCCTTACCAAGGATTACTATGTGAGAAGAGACCAAAAAGACAAACAACTCCAGATACATTCTTCAAGAAATCGTAAATGCTAATAGATTTCTTAAAGAATATATTCATAAATATTTCAAAAACACTTTTTTATGACAGGATAAACACAATGAATTAATAAGAACATTTTAATCATTTTTGAAGGTTGCAGAAATTCCTTAAAATTACATGAATTTGTATGGGAAAGCTTTATGTAGGGTGGCCAATCTTTACAGAAGGTGGGTCAAATTTCAGAAATAATATTTCCTGCCAGGCCATGCACCTAATTTTTTTTTTTTTTTGTTAATAAAAGTAAACAAGCAAGCATGCTATAGCTTCAATCACATTGTCACTTCCCGGTAGGTGAGATCGTGGTCAAACACCTGCCTGGTTTAATGTAAAAAAACACAAAAAATAGGTATATTTATTTTTTTGAAGAAAATAGAACATAACCGAGAATCAAACATATTTATTAGACAATTTAAAAATATTTAAAAGTGAGACATCTGACTTTGTTTTACAGAACTAAGTGCATCAAAATTGATCTCCACTGATGTTATCGCTACATGTAAACAGTTTTCCAAATGAACATCAGTAATTCGTGATCTCACTTGTGATTTGATGTACTTCATGCAACTAAAAAGCTGTTCACATGCATAAGTGTTTCCAAATAGCGAAACCATCGACAGAGCATGTTTGTAAAACGTAGGATATTTATCCTTGTCCAAATACATTTCATAGAACTCTTCCAAACCAACTTGATGGAATTTCTCCTTTAACTGTGTATCACAATATATTTCACAATGTTCCATTTGTAATCTTCCTGGTAATAAATTCACGTCTACGTGAATGGCATTGCAAATGCACAAAAAAGCACATGATGTTTTTCAAAATCCTGAAATCAGTTTTTAAATTTGAGATTTAAATGAGATATCAAAGAAGCATATTTATCTGCAACTCCTGTGTGACGTCTGGTTGCAATGACAATGTAGGAAAGTGAGTAAAGTTTTTGTCTCAACTGTTGTTCCCAAAGACCAAGTTTCATTTGAAATGCAGAAATATGATTATACACCTTATTAATTAATTGATCTTTCCCTTGTAGACAAGTATTAACATCATTTAGGTGGTTAGTTATATCGACCAGAAATGCAAAGTCGCAAACCCACTCTTTGTCTTCAAACTCTAGGATACTTTTTGACTTGCTTGCAAAAAATGATCGTATTTCTTGCTGCAAATCAAACACTCTTTTTAACATTTTGGCACGGGTCAGCCATCTTACTTCTGCATAAAATGTAACGTCATTATAATCTGAGTCCAATGACTTTAGAAATTCTTGGAACTGATGGTGATTCAAACTGTTCGACTTGATAAAGTTCACTATTTTGACAACCACTTTCATGACATGGTCCATTTTAAGGGACTTCAAACATAAATTCTCTTGATGAATAATGCAATGAAAATTTAGCATTGAAATATTGCTGACTTTGGAGGCCTCATTTTCAATCAGTTTTACTAAACCTTCGTGTTTCCAACCATTGCTGGAGCACCATCTGTTGTTAAGCCTGATAAGTTGTTAAGTTGTAATGAAAAGCGATTCAATGTCGATGTAACTGCCTCTAACAAATCTCGTGTTTTAGTAGTGTCCTTAAGTGGATACAGTGCCGCTAATTCTTCTGTCTTTTTAAAATGGATATCAACACCCTTGATAAAAATTGCCAATTGGGCAGTATCTGCTATATCTGTGCTTTCATCCAATGCTAGAGCATAAAATATAAACTCGGATGCTCGACTTTTCAAATTATCTTCAATATGCTTTCTAATGTCATCCACATGCCTAGTAATAGTTTGATGAGACAGACTTATTTTTGAGAAATTCTTCTTCTTTTCTGGACACAGAATTTCAGTGACGCTCTTCAAACATTCCTTAACCATTTCATCGTCTGAAAATGGCTTCAGTTTTTTTGCTAGTATTATGGCTACTGCATAACTAGCTTTTACATAGTATGTTGACTCTGAACCCGCTCTAGTAAATATCTTTTGTTGTACAGAAATTTTTTTTTTAATTATTTACTAGGTCTTGTCAAAATTGCCCTTTGTACTTATCAAACTTATTTGTATGTTTAGTCTTGTAGTGCCATTTGATGTTATACTCTTTCAAAACAGAAACAGATTTGTTGCATATCAAGCATATGGGCTTTGTTTTAGTTTCCACAAAAAAATAGTTTCTACTCCACCTATCTTGAAAACTTCTTAATTCTTCTGTGATTCTTCTCTTTTTTGGTCCAATGTCTTTACTAGTTGATGCCATGTTAGGTTTTTGTTTTGAACTGAAAACATTTCTGTCCATTGTGTATCACCCTGAGTTGAATTTTTGTTGATGCCTAAAGAAAATTTCCCATTTTTAAATTTAAATTACATAAATAAAATGTTTACTTACTTATAGAATTGATATGGTAGACAGGCTACTTGGTTAAAGTAGTTTGAACTGTAATTATAAATATGTTAAATATGTATTTTAATGTCGATCGCAAAATCTCTCCAGATGCATTGACGATAATAAAATGAAACTACAGAATAATATGGAACTTTGTCAAGCTGGACTGAAAGTAGTTATGAGTATGAGCCCAATAGCATTGCGAGCTTCCTGAAAATGCCGAAGATCACAGAACATATATAGCTGAAGTCGAAGTTTCATATTAAATTTTATCAACACTAGCGTCAGACAAAAAACTAAGTAACCTTGAGTGTCAAATAACGGGATATTTGAAATAGCTAAAAATCTATGAATTTTTTCAAAAATGAGAGATATTTCAAATTTCTCTTAGATATAATTTAAAAATACAGGATACAAATAACTCATGATGTAATGTTCTTTTGGTGATATGTACAATAAAGTTAACATTTATGTTCATTTGACCTAGCTAGATTTGCGAGCCTCAAGTTGGCCACCCCTGCTTTATGTTTTTTCATGAAATTTTTTAAAAGGGGTTTTTCAAAATGCATATATTTCATAAAAAGAGAATTTATTATATTTATGTTTTGTCATGTGCCAAATGATATCATTTGTTGTCACTTCTTAAATGATATCAGTTGATATTATTTAGTAAGTTACATCAATCAACAATGTATGTAGAATTTAAAAAGTGAAAACATTACAATATTGTTTGATAATAATTCATATCAGTATTTAACATACACTTCTGCAAAATTAAATAATTGCAGAGGACTTGCCATTTATTATTATTTAATATAATTTTTATTACTTGATATTAGTTCATATCATTTAGATTCTTTTGTTAATGGTAAGTGATTTCAAATGAAATTTTGCTTGGATTTTATAAAAACTTTTTGGAACATAAATAATACGGTATATTCTTAAAGTTTGAAGTTGATATTATTATTTACATTATTATGAATTTTATTAGTATAATCATATAAAATAAAAACAAAATANTCATAAATTGGAGTCATAGTTGATATATTTAAAGTATTAAAAAAATTATATTATATAAATATAAACAAAACATTAAAAAAATATATTTTTACACATATTTCAGGACTAAAGATGATGCTGAATTAACAATTGATAATAAAAAAGTAAAAGTTATTGAAGAAGCATCTGAAACATATACTCTTGTATTAAAAGAAGTAAATTCTAAGGATAGTGGTACATATTCATGTGAAATCAGTAATAAAAGTGGAAAGGACATTTCCAGTGGAAAATTATCTGTAAAATGTAAGATTTATATATTTATATTAGACTAGAATATTATTCCATTTACAAATTAGGTTTTTTTTATTTAAAACTATTTTATGTAAATTAAACATGGTATACATATGATACAAAAAGTACTTTTTATTAATTAATATATATATTAAAAATTATTTTTCATTATATAATATACGACACCCTCAACATAATTTTCCAATCACCTAAAATATAGAAACATCCAACAATTGCCTGAATGATTACGCTACAAATCAGCTAATTTAAATAATTAATACAAAGTAATTTGCTACTAGAGGTAGGCGTTAGTGCCATCTCTTAACTGAATTAATAATTATAATAATAAAAATAAATTATTAAATAATTTAGAACCTTCTGGAAGAAAAGAAACAATCATTTAGGCGATCATTAGATGTTCCTATACACTCAGTGGGCTCAATGTTTGTTACTCCTAAAATATGACATAGCACAGCAACTATAAATAACAAAGTTGAAAATAAATATGCTATGAATAAAATTCATTTTTATGATAAATTAAGTACAATTATGCAAACATTAAACAAATTCTTTCCATAAGAATTAAGCTTTTTGTACAAGAAATAAAAATTTAACAGATTATTATACAAGAGGATATATATACATATATAGTTAATTAAATGTTTTTAAATTTTTGTTATTCTATTTAATCATTACATATATTAACAACTGCAAAGCAAAAGCAAAATAATTATGCAAAAGTTGTTATATCATTAGGTCTGGGATAAAGAATACATTAAATAAACAACTATGCTTCAAAAACTGGAATATCTCATGTAAATAAAGACTAATACCTGAAACCAGCACAAATTAACTCAAAATAGTACTTTTAATAATGTTTTTTTCTGTTTGTAACATACATCTATGAATTGTGTTCTATGTATTTTACCTGAAGATGTCTGTTACAAATAGATGAAAACATTAGTAAAAGTACTATTTTGAGTAAATTTGTACTGGATTTAGGTGTTAGTCTTCATTTAAATAAACAACATTACTAGTTCCTGATTTTCTGGATTTATCCAAGAATCTGAGGATTGTTCTGAAAATAACACATTTCTTCTAACCGATGAAAATGAACTTTTTACATTTTTTGAACCAAAATCAGCAAAAATGCTCAATTTATTGGATTTTCGTGCAATTTATTAAAATACATTCAGAATTTTTGGAGAAATACTGTCATGTATGCAGTCCTTGATGCTATTGTAGGTACCAATATACCATTTTAGATTTCAGAACAAAAGCAGAGACATCTTCAAACATTGTTTTGTAAATAATGTTGCCAAATTGAATTACTGGTACTTTATGCCATATTAAGGTTTTTTTAATTGACAAAAAATAAAAATTATTAGTGTCTTGGCTATCTTTTGAGCTAATTTAATTTTATTCGGTAACCTTTTTGCTATTTTTTAATAAATTATTGGTGACAGTGTGAAGTGCAGAAGTGTGCGCAGCCTCAAGGTTTTATATTCAACCATAGACTAGGAAATTTAATGGGTAAGCATAAAAGTTTTGTGTCTCAACTTCTGCAGAAGTGGGTGAGGGAAGCAAAGTTAGCTGAGAGAGACTTTGTAGTGGATGGCTCAAAAGTGTTCTGCAAAGTATGTCAAAATACATTTGTGTGCATGAAGAAATCACATTTTAAGAATCATATGTATCCTGCAAGACATGTGCAAGCAGCATGTCGATGGAGTCGAACATCCCAGATGCTGCTCACAAAAATTGAAACTCAGGATCAAATAAATATTTTTTTAGATCCAGCAAAAACCTTTATAGGATACAATATAGAATTGCATAAACTGATGCATCCCTTGCCCAGGAAGTACTTAGAAAAATACACAAAGCAGAATCTTCCTGATGAATCAACACTGAGGAAGAATTATCTTCCATGTGTTCATCAGGAAGTGCTTGAAGAAATCTGCAAAGAAATTAGTGACAATGCTACATGGTTTGTTGTAGATGAAACTGTAGACACATGCAGATGATATGTTCCTTTAATGGTAGTACGAAAACTTGACAGAAAAGACTGCACTAAAATTTATCATCTTTTATGTAAATTTCTGGAGAAGATGAATGCACAGGTGATAGCAAGATTTGTTCAGGAAGGTTTAATGCTGTTGTATAATTAAAGTTATGCCATGCATACAGATGACACAGCCTTCTGTAAGCATGACAAGAACTTTTTATATAATCTTATTCACGTAACCTGCCTGAATCATGCTTTACATCTTCTGGCTGAACAAGTTCATTTACATTTTAAAGATGTAAACTCCTCATTTGTTCTGGCAAGAAACTGCTTGTTAAACTATGGCTTGCCAAAGACAATGCAAACTGCTATGCATTGTGAGCATTTGCCAATATACTCCTTTCCCACCCTTTCCCATAGTCATGAGATGGGACAGTTGGATAAAAGCTTCAGTATTCTATGTGGACCATTTACCTGACTTTCAAAATTTTATCAATGAACTTGATGAATCAGAAAGTTCTTTCACTGTGGATGTTAAGGAAGCTTTGGAGAATCACATTTAATCACATCTCTAGTTTACATCCGCACTCATTTGTTAAATTTTCCAGATAACATTGAAGCATTAGAAGCAAGAGAGTTGTCACTTGAAGAATCTCTAAAAATGTTTTAAACAGTAGAGAATTCTATACAAAACCTTCCTGGTTTATGTAGAATCAAACTTTGCATGAAACTGGTGGCACTTTTGGATAAGAACAGTGGTTTTTCTGTGCTTTGCCAAGTTAATAGCTGTCTAGTTGCAGATCCCTGAGGATGTAGGGCTTGCCAATGTATCTTTGCTGAAATACTATCCTGTGACTAAGTTCAAGGCTGAGAGAAGTTTTTCATTGTATAAAAACATTATCACTGGCCTGACAGAAGAAAATATTAATAGATTTCTTGTATGTGCATGGTCATATTCAAACAGTTTATAATATAGTATACTGCATCAATTAATAAACGGATAACTGAAAAAAATTCGATCAATCAATCAAATATATTTATTCATAATAAGGANATTTATACGGATAACTGAAAAAAATTTGATAATTTGGTTTTATTTTTATTATTTTTCTCTTCTGAGAATAAATTCAAAAATGCGATCTTTTCGATCCGAATTCAGATCTGAAACTTCACTTTTATTGATTCGAAAAGTCTGGCTCTTAAACATCATTAAAGTAACTTAAAATAAAAACTCATAAGAGAATGTAAATATTATATTTAATAAACAACTGATGATAATTTTTGGATATAAATAAATACCAAATTAATAAAAATCCCTTACAATAAATTAATGTTTATCTATTGATATATCCAGCAATTATTTATTAGTTGTTTATTGGTTGCTGTAATTAAAATTTTTTTAGTATTTTTTGTAAGTATAACAGTGCTATTCATTTAGTTTATTTTTTCTCCAACACCTGATGATTGTATAATAATTAAAAATTTATTTGCATAATTATTATTATTTTTAAGCTTTTAATAAAGAAAAATTATTTTCTGAATTTGATGAAGTGTGTTATTTCTATTGTTTGATGGAACAATAGAAATAACACACTTTATCAAATTCAGAAAATAATTTTTCTTTATATTGTATCATATTTAAAACATTAAAGAAAATAATGTTACAAGATTTTTGTCATTTTTTAAAGTAAAAAAAAATATTTAAAACATTCTAATTCTTTAATATTTTAAGTTTGACTTTTTATATTATTTTATAAATATTTTTATAAATGCTTATAAAATTATATATTTTAATTTAAAAAACCAATACATAAAATATTTTTAATATTTTTAGCTCCTGCTAAGTTTATTCAAGGATTGAAAGATAGTGATGTTGAAGAAAATGTATCAGCAAGTTTTACAGTAAAAATCAGTGGAGAACCAAAACCAGATATTAAATGGTGATTAATGTTTTCATTAAATTTAGTTTTTAGCAAACAATTAGCTGTTTATAATTTTAAAGGATTAAACAAAACAGTTTTAAACAAACACTAAAATGCCAATCCAGAAAATACCTAAATTAAATGAAAGCAACTTCATAATCTATACAGTGTAATGAATAAATAACTAGTATAATTGATAATAAAATCAAAATTATAAAACCAAATGATCTACTGTTTGGTTATTAGGCTATTTTCATACTATCATTTACTAATTCTAATATATTGGGTACGTGAATTATTATATGCAAAATTATAAAATATTTTAGTTTTCTGAGGATTAGTATTAAGTATAAACTGTTATACTTTTGCAAGTTTCTTTTAATTTTATTAAATGATTTAAATAAAATGAAAATTCTGTATAAAAACAGTATTCATTTTCATTTTTTGTATTATATTATCCTCTTTCAAAAAATATTTTTAATTCTTTATTTATTTATTTATTTTTATGTATAATATTATATAGGACTAAAGATGGAACTACATTAACAATTGATGGAACACATATAAAACAAATAGAAGAAGAATCTGCTACTTTTACTTTGGTTATAGATAAAGTGTCAAAACAAGATGTTGGAGAATATTCCTGTGAAATTACTAATGAACATGGAAAAGATATTACCAAGTGCCGTTTGGGGGTTAAAGGTAATTTATAGTTGATTTCATTCATGTTCATTTATAGTAGTTAATTTATTAGTAGGTAAATTTATTTGACTAAAACTTTCTTCCTTGTTTCTTGTCACTTCTGTAACTACTGAAAATAATTTTCTGCATCTCATTTTTAAATGTGCAAATCTCACTTCTAGCAAACTTCTTCATCTGAATTTATCTTATTTAGGTGTGGATTAGTATCTATCATTGTTTTTTTTTTTTTAAGAATTTGAATCTTGCTTTAAAGAAACTAGACTCCTAAAGTGATTTACTATGGAATTGCACAATATATCTTGATCAAGTTTCTGTCATGCATTAGAAGTATGTCTTAGATTATAAATAGATAAATTCTGGTGTTTTTTAAAAATTTTATCAGATTAATTTGTATAGCCAGTAAATGAAATATAGTTTTGAAATAAATGGAAACATGATTTCATGAATTTTAATATTGTAGCCAGTTGACATTCTAGACAAGATTTTCGTAGTTTCTGAATTGATGACCAAAAAAGTTGATTGTTTTTGTTTGCTATCATTTGTTGTTGAAGTTTTTTAAAATAGTTTAATTTTTTAACTTTCAGTAAGTTGAAATAAGAAGTTTTTAGCTGTTTATAACGATTAAAAGAAATATCTGAGTAGCAGATTCTGAATTGTTTTAGAGCTTTATTCTTCTGAATTTTAAGTTTATAGCAATTTAAATCAAACTATGGCTTTTTAAATTTATACGGATAACTGAAAAAAATTTGATAATTTGGTTTTATTTTTATTATTTTTCTCTTCTGAGAATAAATTCAAAAATGCGATCTTTTCGATCCGAATTCAGATCTGAAACTTCACTTTTATTGATTCGAAAAGTCTGGCTCTTAAACATCATTAAAGTAACTTAAAATAAAAACTCATAAGAGAATGTAAATATTATATTTAATAAACAACTGATGATAATTTTTGGATATAAATAAATACCAAATTAATAAAAATCCCTTACAATAAATTAATGTTTATCTATTGATATATCCAGCAATTATTTATTAGTTGTTTATTGGTTGCTGTAATTAAAATTTTTTTAGTATTTTTTGTAAGTATAACAGTGCTATTCATTTAGTTTATTTTTTCTCCAACACCTGATGATTGTATAATAATTAAAAATTTATTTGCATAATTATTATTATTTTTAAGCTTTTNCATTCGTTAAGGTTAATTGATGATTATTTAGTGGATTTTCAATAACCGGAAATCTATTAAAATAACTAGACCATATTGAAATGTCTATATCCGGTTGACATTCTAGACAAGATTTTCGTAGTTTCTGAATTGATGACCAAAAAAGTTGATTGTTTTTGTTTGCTATCATTTGTTGTTGAAGTTTTTTAAAATAGTTTAATTTTTTAACTTTCAGTAAATTGAAATAAGAAGTTTTTAGCTGTTTATAACGATTAAAAGAAATATCTGAGTAGCAGATTCTGAATTGTTTTAGAGCTTTATTCTTCTGAATTTTAAGTTTATAGCAATTTAAATCAAACTATGGCTTTTTAAATTTATACGGATAACTGAAAAAAATTTGATAATTTGGTTTTATTTTTATTATTTTTCTCTTCTGAGAATAAATTCAAAAATGCGATCTTTTCGATCCGAATTCAGATCTGAAACTTCACTTTTATTGATTCGAAAAGTCTGGCTCTTAAACATCATTAAAGTAACTTAAAATAAAAACTCATAAGAGAATGTAAATATTATATTTAATAAACAACTGATGATAATTTTTGGATATAAATAAATACCAAATTAATAAAAATCCCTTACAATAAATTAATGTTTATCTATTGATATATCCAGCAATTATTTATTAGTTGTTTATTGGTTGCTGTAATTAAAATTTTTTTAGTATTTTTTGTAAGTATAACAGTGCTATTCATTTAGTTTATTTTTTCTCCAACACCTGATGATTGTATAATAATTAAAAATTTATTTGCATAATTATTATTATTTTTAAGCTTTTAATAAAGAAAAATTATTTTCTGAATTTGATGAAGTGTGTTATTTCTATTGTTTGATGGAACAATAGAAATAACACACTTTATCAAATTCAGAAAATAATTTTTCTTTATATTGTATCATATTTAAAACATTAAAGAAAATAATGTTACAAGATTTTTGTCATTTTTTAAAGTAAAAAAAAATATTTAAAACATTCTAATTCTTTAATATTTTAAGTTTGACTTTTTATATTATTTTATAAATATTTTTATAAATGCTTATAAAATTATATATTTTAATTTAAAAAACCAATACATAAAATATTTTTAATATTTTTAGCTCCTGCTAAGTTTATTCAAGGATTGAAAGATAGTGATGTTGAAGAAAATGTATCAGCAAGTTTTACAGTAAAAATCAGTGGAGAACCAAAACCAGATATTAAATGGTGATTAATGTTTTCATTAAATTTAGTTTTTAGCAAACAATTAGCTGTTTATAATTTTAAAGGATTAAACAAAACAGTTTTAAACAAACACTAAAATGCCAATCCAGAAAATACCTAAATTAAATGAAAGCAACTTCATAATCTATACAGTGTAATGAATAAATAACTAGTATAATTGATAATAAAATCAAAATTATAAAACCAAATGATCTACTGTTTGGTTATTAGGCTATTTTCATACTATCATTTACTAATTCTAATATATTGGGTACGTGAATTATTATATGCAAAATTATAAAATATTTTAGTTTTCTGAGGATTAGTATTAAGTATAAACTGTTATACTTTTGCAAGTTTCTTTTAATTTTATTAAATGATTTAAATAAAATGAAAATTCTGTATAAAAACAGTATTCATTTTCATTTTTTGTATTATATTATCCTCTTTCAAAAAATATTTTTAATTCTTTATTTATTTATTTATTTTTATGTATAATATTATATAGGACTAAAGATGGAACTACATTAACAATTGATGGAACACATATAAAACAAATAGAAGAAGAATCTGCTACTTTTACTTTGGTTATAGATAAAGTGTCAAAACAAGATGTTGGAGAATATTCCTGTGAAATTACTAATGAACATGGAAAAGATATTACCAAGTGCCGTTTGGGGGTTAAAGGTAATTTATAGTTGATTTCATTCATGTTCATTTATAGTAGTTAATTTATTAGTAGGTAAATTTATTTGACTAAAACTTTCTTCCTTGTTTCTTGTCACTTCTGTAACTACTGAAAATAATTTTCTGCATCTCATTTTTAAATGTGCAAATCTCACTTCTAGCAAACTTCTTCATCTGAATTTATCTTATTTAGGTGTGGATTAGTATCTATCATTGTTTTTTTTTTTTAAGAATTTGAATCTTGCTTTAAAGAAACTAGACTCCTAAAGTGATTTACTATGGAATTGCACAATATATCTTGATCAAGTTTCTGTCATGCATTAGAAGTATGTCTTAGATTATAAATAGATAAATTCTGGTGTTTTTTAAAAATTTTATCAGATTAATTTGTATAGCCAGTAAATGAAATATAGTTTTGAAATAAATGGAAACATGATTTCATGAATTTTAATATTGTAGCCATTCTGAATGTTACTTTTGCAAAATTTGTTACATCTATAAAAAAAACTAAAGGATTTGACTTATATACCAAAATAAATTTCTCATTATTGATATTAATGTTATAAAAGATTTAATTAAAATAAATTTATTTGTACTACATTATGTTTTTTTTTTTTTAGCAAAACCTACTTTTAAGAAAAAACTTGTCGATAAAGAATCAGTGGAAGGAGATGTTAATGTTGAATTTACTGTAGAAGTTGATGGATCACCAAGTCCTAAAGTTCAATGGTAATGTATATGTTATATGTGTATTTTAAAAATTTATGTAAGAATTATCATTTATTAGAAAATTAAATTATTTCTTAAAATACATTTTAAGACAAAAAATTATTTTAAATTTATATTTTGTATTAATAATTTATGATTTGGTTTAATCTTTAAGATTTGCTCTTATTAAATTTATATGTATATTTTATCACTCTGTTTAGTCTGGAAATTAATATAGAAATTAATTTTTAATTGTTCAAAGATATTACATTAAAATTTTTCAATTTATTATTGTACTTATGCAGAATTTTTTGTATATTTGTCTGTTTCATTATTTATATCTTTGCATTAGTTTATTTGAAAAAAGAAAACTATATAGAAAAATTGTAGTAATGGAATGAAATGATTCTGTAAATGTCAGTTTTCTTTATTTTAAGAAGACCACTTAGTTTTCAATTATATTGTGAAATAAACATTTCATAATAAAGTTATTTGTGATTAAAAATTTTATATTTAAATTTAATATGAATGAATTTCAATATTGAATTTAAGTATAAATTTTAAAAAAGCAATAAAATTAAAATAGTAGATAAAGGACTGCTATGTAACATCTGATTCATTTTTTATTTGATTCTATTTAAATTTTTCCGAAAAAATTTAAATATAAATTTTTAGAATCAAAAATAAAGCTTATATTTTACTTTTTAATTATATTAAATCAAATATTTCAAAGGAAAATTCAATAAGTTTTCAAAAGTTCAATGAAGTTTTAGAAAAATTAAGCTTTGGAAACATAAAAAAAAAATACTTCTAGAAATTAATTAAAATGCTTTGAAGATGAAATATGTTGTTTCAACAAACTTTATAAAATCTAATATAAATGAAGTAATAAAACAATCTTTTTAAATTATTATTATTTTTTTTCAGTAATTTCATTACTTTAACTAATAATAGTTAATTTTTGTATTTAAATTTAAAATTTAATTCTTAGTTACATTTATGATTTTGAAATTAATTTTAAAGGATTTCTTAATTATTTTAGGTTCTTAGGTAATGTTGAAATTACCAGCAATGAAAAATATACTGTTTCTAATGATGAAGCATCATATACATTAACTTTGAAAAAAGTTGCATCTGATATGTCTGGAACTTATAAATGCAAAGCAACTAATCCACATGGTTCTTCAGAAACAAGTGCAGAATTTACAGTCTATGGTAACTTTTTAAAATAAATAAATATTTTATTTATTTATTTAAATTAGAAATTTTAATGTTTACTAATTAATGAAACTGTACTTATTTACACTTAATTATATACAGTAGGTTCTCAAATTACATGTCAGTTGCATATAAGTCATGCATATTTTAAGTTACCTGTAATAGGAACAAAACTTTTTCATTTAAATTAATGTAAAATACCATAATTTCATTATGTGTATATGAAGGAAAAGGAAATGAGTAATTGGAAATGTAGAGATGATTTAAATAGATGAAAAAAATACAATTATTATTTAATTTAGCTTTTGTTCAACTTTTATGTTTAAAAGTTGTTAAGGAAAGTTTTGTGTTGATTTATTGGTGATTGTGTGGATTTTCTTCAAAGTCAGTGCAACAAGAAAATGAAGAATTTAACTATTCTTTAATGTGTTCATCCAAAGGAATTTTCAGTCATATTGCCCAAGTGACATCTAAATGTAAACATTAAGGACTAAACAGTATAACTGCACTGTAAACTAAATGTGAACTAACTGGAAATGTACACACACAAAATAAATCAACTCAATCAATTCCTTCTATTTTTCAGTATAAATTAGATTTTAATTAAAAAGTTTTCAGCCTTATTTGACAAGTTGTCCTCAGGCTAAATTCATTGGGCTGCAATTTGAAAAATTGTAGACCTGTAATTTCCCACTGTTATCTGTTTGTCTGTCTGTCCATCATTTGTCTTTCCTTAATCTCAAAATCCTTTAAGGTATAACTGGATAAGGTATTATAACTTTGTACACACCAATAAGATTCAAACACATTCATTTTACAAAAATAGATTCAAGTTCTATCTTCCATTTTTCAACCTGAAGTTTATCCGAGCGTCATTTATCCGAAAGTTGGTTATCTGAAACATCAGTTATCCGAAAGAATTCCAGTCAGCAAATTTAAATTTTCACTAGTGCTGTGGCGCTGCAATCTTTGGCTATATCTTGAGCTACTCCAATATTTTTTTTGTTGATATGTGTGTTTTAGCTGGCAGCACTGGCACTTTTGTGTGATGTTTTCCTGAGGACTGTGTGTCATGCTGAATCGAACGTTTCTGATACTAGATTAACTTCTAAAGTATAATTTTTTTTTGTTTTTATATTTTTCAATATATTTATTTTGTTTGTAAAAAATAAAGAAATAATTTTTAATGATACAATAGCCATGATTATTATTTTAAAAAGTTTACATTAGGCTTAACATCGACGAAAATTCAACACGAAGCAACATGCAACGGAGAAAAATTTCAACATGGGATAGGTTAATATGTTTTTGGTACATAATTGGTTATCCGAAAAATAAGTTATCCAAACAATCCCAGTCTCCAATTGATTTGGATAAACGATGCTTTACTGTAATTATGTAAATGAACATTTTGATGGTTTACTCTGACTCTTTTCTCTAAAGGTCTAGCAGTTGCCCCAATATATACTAAATTTTTATTGAAATGTTTATTTATAAAAGGAATGGAGTAGAAGCCTGGTAGGTGTTTGCCTTCCACCTGGTCTTTAGAGAAAAGAATCAATGAGCATATCTACACCATTCTTCCACCACCTTAAGTGTGTTGGAGAATGAAGTAGATATTGTATATGACCAAGCCCAAATCATTCATCCTATCTCTAACTAGTCCCCACTTAGAACATCTCAAAAGAATGGAGATTTATAAGGCTTCCTTTAAAGAACTGGCCATCAATTACAGGAATGTGGATACCATTTCCTATGCATGGACATCTTTACATGAAAATCTTAATTGATGGACCAAGCCCAGCAGAATCACATCAGTTATTACATGTATATATCCTAGCCAATAAGATTTAGACATATTCATTTAAAAAAAAAAGATTTTGGTTCTATCTTCCATTTTTCAACTTGATGATGACAATTTTAAAATTGTTGCAAGCATTAATTTATATAATTAAATTTTATATTTTGGTGGATATTCTAGAGTTTCTCTGAAATTTGCTGGATGATTTTATAAGGCAGTTATCTGAGCACATGTTACTTGTTATTTGCACATGCACAGTCTCATATCAAAGATGGCACTATTGTCAGAGTGCACTATTGTAGAACAACAAAGTGTTATATTGAATTCTAAAAGTTAGTGGCTTATGGAATGGTTTTTTTGTAGAAAACTTTGTCTTTTTTTTATTTAAAATACTATGTTGGCTAATAACATGTAATTTTATATTATGCCTCTTATAACCATTTTTTACAAAAGACCAAGACCATAAAATTAACTTTTTTTATAAACTTTTAATGCTATGCATTTCAGATGTGTAGCATCCAATTAATTTTATGGTCTTGGTCTTTTGTAAAAAATGGTTGTAAGAGGCATAACATAAAATTACATGTTATTAATCAACATAGTGCTTTTAAATAAAAAAAAGACACAAAGTTTTCAAAGTGTTATAGGTTTTTTGTGGTCAGATGTTATGAAAATGAGTGAAACTTATTGCAGGATGGTGCCTAAGTATGGAGACAGTTGTTTAAATTAACATAAGCTGTATGATTATGTGAGAAGCTGGGGGCAAAGGGAAAGCTCCCTAAAGACCCTTTGGTCAGTGACGGTTTGGTGAAAACCATAAATATTGTTGTTGTGTGGTGATACACTAGTTGTTTTTTTTTATATATTTATATTTTTGTATTAAGCCTAGGATTAAGTTCTCTCGATCTTTTGTTTAACCCTTCCTCGTACTTCCTAACGGTCCTGTTTCCCTGCTGGTGGTGAAAGATTTCTAAGAACTACACTGAAAACAAGGGTGTGGAGGCAGGCCCCGAGGCAAGGAGAGAAAGGAGAGGGGGACTTGCGAGCTAGCGTCGGGAGAGGACGGACAGGCGAGGAGATCCTGGTGGCCGTAACGAAGGAAAAAGGAGCGATAGGAGAACAAAGAGAGCGAGACATCGCAGGAAGGACGGAAGATCATCAGAGTGCATTTTCATCGATGTGAGTGGACTCTAAAGAAAGAGAAGAGACCCGGGTACCCCACCAGCAAACTTTCCCTTATTTCTCTTATTCTTATTATTAATATTTTTCCTTAATTATACTGTCTCATTTATTATATAGATTAGGTTAAGTTAGGTTAAGATAGATTAAGCACTGATTAAAAATTGTCGCGAAGTATTGTTGCACTCTCTTTCCGATATCATTATATGTTACGCGAGTTATACGTATCGGAGTTGGGACCCCTGAAATATTTGTATACTAGCACGAAGAACAATAAAACTATTGTTGTAGACGACTTTCTTTGTGTTGTCCATCCACGTGCTCTCCACAGTTGGATGGCTTGTTCGATAAAGTGTCAGTGGGATTGCAAGATCCTTCTGACGTCAGGAACCTGACACCAATTAAGATAGTTCAAAGTCATGTCCTAACTCGCAAATCGTAAACAAATGTTGAGTAGAAGGGTTGATTTAATGGTTGAGTGGGGAATGCAATGAGTAAGTTGATAGGGTGTCCAAAGTTCAATTAAGAAAGTAGACCAATTAACCAACATAACAAAAGTTTAATATAACTATAATCTATATTACAAACACTACGAACTACACAACTAAATACTAATTGTAAACACTGCACTCGCAAGGTGCATTCACATTCTATGTTAAGGAGAGAGAGAATGTACATATGGGCTAACAAATTACCTCTGAGAAAGAGATGTTGTCCTCTATTTTCTTGGAGGAGTATATGGTGTTATAAGGTGAGCCGTGGTCTCCATCATATGGCGGTTCTAGCTGGTACTGAGTGTGTCCACTTTGAGGAGGTTCATGCTGGAGATGTCCACCTGGATATGGCGTCTGGGGATGTGTCTGCCAGTGTCCCCCTTCTCTGGTGGATTCTGCTTTGTATGGCAGAGCTGGTAGCTGTCTGTCTTGTATGGCACTGGGATGTCCACCTGGATATGGCAAGTCTGGAGATATCCTCTCTGTATTGTCTTGGGATGTCCACCTTGAGACTCAAGTTCTAGTCTCTTTTATCCTCCTGAGGCCTGGGAAAACCCATCAAGTGATCGGATGTTTGGAGACAAAGTTGCAGGTGTGAGGTCAGAGGTTGCTGTCGATGATGCTAAGATGTCATTTAAATGGAGCTGATAATACCATATTTGGTTCAAGACCTGTAAGATTCATTCTGTTTAGTTGTTTGAAGGTTGACTTTCCCTTCTTTTAACAATAGATTGTTATAATTCTTTAACAATTGTTGATGAACAGATGTTGTGCAATGTTTTCTTAACAATCGTGATGGAGAAATTGGTTAAAAATTTCTTTAATTTAGAACAAAGACATGTTCTCCATCTCACAATTAGGTCCAGAGATTTAAGTACAGGTGCACTGTCTGTGATGAGAACCAGTTGGGCCAACCAACAAACATCACAACAGACACAATCAAAACACAAACTGATATGTGAATTAGGAAAACTTTGGAGAATCACAATTGGACATCTTTGCCAAATTTAATATAAGCTATCGCTGTACATACAATATTGTCAATAACAACTTTAGATACAGAAAAGTTTGCAGCAGCTGAAAATTAAGAGCTGAAGCCAGATTACATTGTTGTATGGTAATATGTGCTCAGATAACTGCTTTATAAAATACTCAGTAAATTTTGGGCAAACATGGTTTTGTGTCATTATACTGAAATTTCCTTTAATTAATGAGTTTCTCTGTACATTTTGCATTATTTTTATATTTAATATAAATATTTTTCTTTAAAAAATCTCTAACATGAATTAATATTTACTCCTTTCTAAGCTGTACTTTTATAAAATACTCACTCAAGGTGTTCTTATTAGAATGTTTTTCCTGAAGATCGTTTAAAATGATCGAAAATGTTAAAATAAACTTATATATACTGCATTAAAAGGTTTTGAGTGAGTATTTTCTAAAGTGAAAATATGTATTATAATTTTAAAATGTATTATAATTATTTCCAATTGTAGTGAAACCAAAAATTATTGATGGGTTAAAAGATTTGGAAGTTAAGGAAGGAGAAAAAGTAGAGATGACTGTTAAAATAGCTGCATCTCCTTCACCTGATATTAAATGGTAAGTTTAAAATTGTGTATATACATTATTTGCTTCAGTAGTAATATTTCTACAATAAGCTAATATTTGGTTGAATGGAAAATTTTTGTATATTTTTAACAGATGTTGTTACTTAATGCAGATGTATGATTTAATTATAACAATTGTGAAATTTAACACATTATTGTTAATGTGAGATTGTATTCTTTGTTTATAAGCTTATTTTGTACTTTTTACTTCACATTTTGTTTGAATAAAATCAAATTGAAATATCTGCAGATAAAATGCATATCCAGCATATTGTGCTTTATGAGTTTCAGAAAGGATTAAAAGCCACACTAACTGTAAAAAAATATTCGTAATGTATATATAGGAAAATATTTCTAAACTTCAAGTATATCAAATGTAGTTTAAAAAGTCCTGTTCAGGAAATTTTGATTAAAGAATACACAACCAATGGGGCTCTCAAAAACTGTTGACAGAGAAAAATTGCAAAAAGAAATTGTTATAAGTCAATGAATAACAACTTGTACTTCCAAGAAATCTTAATATGTCACAAACAAGTATTGTTGAAACATTTCATCAATTTGCAATGATTGCAAAACATATTGTTTAGGTTTTGCAAGAATTAAGTGAAAAACAAACTGGATTGGGTATCAAAATGTGCCACACTGATTCTGCAGTTTCAACTTTAAAAACAGCTTTGCATTCCAAAAAAATACTGCTTTTGTGCATTGTGGGATATCAATGGTATAATTTATTATGAGCTTTTAGAACTTCATGAAACTATAAATTCTAACATCTATTCTCAACAATTAAATTGAGTAAATGAAAATCTTAAAAAGAATGCCTGCACCTGGTTAACCAGAAGGGGATTATCTTTCACCAAGATAATGCTTGCACAAATGTCAGTTTGATGATGCAACAAAAATAAAACAATTGAATTGAGAAATTTTAGACCAACCTCAATTTACACCCCAAATTTAATGCCATCAGACTTTCATCTGTTCTGATCATTATAAAATTATTTAAATGGACAAAAATTTAAAGTTTTGATGAAGTGAAAAGTGAAATCTGATATGAATCAAATTTTTGAATCAAAACAGAAATCTTTTTATGTAGATGAAATAAATAAACTTGTAGATCATTGGGAGAAAGTAACTGAAAGTGATGGAAGTTACATTGTTGATTGAATAAAAATATTTTATTTTTCAAAAAATGCAAAAACTTTCTGTTCAACCCAGTAAATAATAATAAACAATGTAAGTCTTTGAAAACCTGTATACTCTTTATAAAACACAATAAAAACAATTATTAAAGCTACAAACTTTAATTTATATGCTAATGTTTAAGTTTAATTAAGTCTGCTGATATTTAAAAAAAACAAAAAGCATTATAAAATGAGAGAAGTAAGTTATTTTTATTTCACATTTCATTTGCGTAGTTGGCAAAAGTATGTAAATGAAAAGTATGACAAAGCAAAAAGTAATAATATTAACTTATATACATGGAAATGTAACAAATTTAAAATGTTTATAATAGTTTTTGTGTTATTTAATATTTTTTAAAATAATTTAGGAAGAAAAATGGAGAAGATATATCTGCAGAAGCAACTATTAAAATAAAACAAGATGTACCAAACTGTACAACTGCTATTTTTGAGAAAGTTACAGTTGTTATGACAGGAGAATATGAATGTTATATTAAAAATAAAGTAGGAGAAGCTTCTACAAAAGGAAAATTAATTGTACAAAGTAGGTATTATAAAAGCAATAATTTCATTAAACATATTTATTTGTTATTCGTAAGTTAAAAAATTTCATACATATACATGTCTCTTTAATCCAAAAAATTATAAAAATTCCGGTAGACTCTTACAGCCTTTAGGTCAGGAGCATCCTTTATTGAAGATACAGGTTACATATGCATTTTGGGCTTATTTTATCTTTAAGCCCCTCTTCAGTGCTATACAAAAAGAGGTTTTCCACGATTTTTTTTTACAAATCCTTCTGCCAAACTAATATGACACTTCTGGGTTTTTTTACATTATTTACCAATCTTTAAAATGGACATATATCATATTACATTAAAATTCTAAACAATCACTAAATATTGGTGAATCAATTTCTATTTTCCTACTATTGCCATTGTCTGGTTTATTTTTTGCTCATCATAACTATATATATGTTACTGTAAATGCTCGAACTATGGTAAATCCTAAGATCTTCCAATAAAACCTAAGATTTACCAAATATTTGTGGTAAAAGTCTGAAATGTTCTGTGATCATCGTTAATTTCGAACTTTTATCAACATTTACTCGGTATATCTTAGGTTTTATCTCAGAGATATGGTAAATGTTGAAGTAAATAGTCCCCGATCCTGTACCACACCCCGCCACCTTTGCTCTCCGCATTCCATCATTTGACACGTTAGAACGCGCACGTTAATTCTAATCTTGTTTGAGATTTCTTTGTCTAAAAGTTATTTATGAATCAAGATGAGCGTGAAACGGAGATTTTATGAAATAATGGCAAGTAAGAAAGATGATAACTTTTATCTCAATAGGGACAAATACGCAAAGTGTTTGGAGGAAGTAAAAGCTGCAAAGAACATGATAAAGAAACAAGCTGTTCATTACAAGCATATAAAGCGTTACGACATTTTGACTATAGGCGGCGAACAAAAACTAATTGCACCTATGAAGGAGGAGGATGGAAAAATAAGGTATTACATTTGTTATGAGGATTTATTCAACATTCTCGAAGAAATGCATGTTGCTGTTGGCTACAGTGGAAGGACACGGATGCTTAAGGAATGTAACCGCAAGTATAAAAATGTAACAGTTGAGGCTACTATGACATATTTGAAGCTATGTCAACCTTGCCAAAAGAAACAGAAGACTTTGAAAAAGGGCATTGTCATCAAACCTATACTTCATAGTGAAATGAACTCACGCTGTCAGGTTGATCTAATAGATCTACAAACTACACCAGATGGAAATTATAAATTTATTTTAGTTTACCAAAACCATCTTACCAAATTTGTGATCCTTCGTGCACTTCAAACTAAACACACCATAGAAGTTGCATACCATCTTTTGGAGCGCTGAGCATCCTTCATTCCGATAATGCCCAAGAATTTTCTAACCAAGTTATTGAGAGTTTATGCTCCATGTGGCCGGATGTAAAAATCGTACATGGAAAGGCAAGACATAGCCAAAGTCAAGGATCAGTGGAGTGTGCTAATCAAGACATAGAAAATATGTTGAGTATGTGGATGGAAACCAATCAGTTATCAAAGTGGTCAGAGGGTTAAAGATTCATCCAGGTGATGAAAAATAGTGCATATCATGAGGGAATCAAATGTTCTCCCTACAAAGCAATATTTGGTTGTCCAATGAAAATGGGCCTTGCAACTTCAGCAATCCCTGGTGATATGATTAGAGTTATAAGATCTGAAGAAGATTTAGAGAAGTTGTTGCATTTGCATGACAATACAGAACAAAATAATGACGTCGAAAATGCAATCGAACAGGACAAGGAAGAAAGCATTATTAAAAATGAGTCAGAAGGGGATATAGACAATAGCACTGTCAACGATAAAACACAAGAAGATGAAATGATTATTACTGAGATGATGAAGGCAAAGCAAATAACCGATGATTTCAATGTAACGATTCAGAGATAGAAAACACGATTGAGTCTCAGGAAGTTCTTGTAACTATAGAGCCAATACCAAAAAAGATACAATCTGTAGTGACTATAAGAAACAATGCAAAATTGAGTTTGGAGAAACAAGCTGAAAAAATGAAAGCCATGTCTGTTGATAAATATCCAAATATGAAAATTGGCCAAAATGTAAGACTGAAAGTGCCTGAAATTGACAAAACTAAAACCAACCCGAAAAGCATTATCGCAGTTGTAATAGATGTAAAGGATAAAGACTTTTACCAACTAGGTACCAAAATTGGAGTGCTAAAGCAGCTTTATACACAAAATTAATTTACCTCATGCCCTGAAGACTTTATCAAGATAGAAGAAGTTGTTAAAGATAAAGAAGTGAGTCTTCGAGAAGTTGTTGCAAAATTGTCTTTGACCAGAGGACAAGGTTTCAAGAAGTGCAACTGCCTAAAAAAATGCGTAACAAAGAAGTGCACTTGCAAGTCATCAGGATTACTTTGTAATTCTAAATGCCATGATAGCTCTCCATGTTGTAACAAATAAAATCCTTTTTTTACTTTTATTAAATGACAATGAATACCAAATGATTAGAAAAAATACCGTGATTACTGATTAGCTTAGTCAACGTAAGCTATTATACTATTTTTGACAAGATAATTTAATTTTTTGTTATGTTAAAAAAGTATTTTTAAACTGTTTCACTAGTTATTAATAAATAGGACTTAGTAAGTTGACTGTTTACAATAATCGCAATAAATGATTATTAAAATATTCATAGTTTTATTTCCAAAACCAACATTTACTAATCATCTTTAGTAAAACCTAGCATGTACCAAATTCTAATGGTAAAAGCCCGGAAAATCATCTCACTTTATAAAAATCCTTACATTTACCAACTCATGTTGGTAAATCTAAAGATTTACGAGTAAAACCTAGGATTTACCAATATACAGGCTTTTACAGTAACATATATAAATATATTATATATTAGTTATATATATCAGATTGTACAGTTAAATTTAGACATTTTGAAAAATTTTTTTCAAGAATGATTAAATTGCAGTCTTGTAGGTAATCTCCATCAACATCAATCACATTTCATCACATTTGATACAAATTTCCAATCCTATTTCAATCCTTTCAATCCACATTTTCCAACATAGAATGACCAAGTTTTTTTTTTTATTGAAGAAAGTCTTGAACATTAGATATTGTCATTGAACTGTATATGCAATGCAATATGGTTCTGCAGGGCACGAAACAGATGATAGTCAGTTGGTGCCTAAGTCTAGGCTTTAAAGTGGATGAGGTAGACCTCCCAGCCCAGACTGGCCAGTTTCTCTAAAGTCATCTTTGCTCTAGGTGCTGGTGCATTTTTGCAACAGTATTGGTACTTTGCCAATTTTTGTATGAAGTTCTTTGATCTTATTGTTTAAACAATCCAGTTGTTTACAGTAGTGTTCTTTTGTGACAGTGATATTGGTTGGAAGCAGCTCCATCATGATGATGTCATTCATGAAATAAACATTGCCTTCTTCTGCACTGTTGGCCATTTGCCATTTGAAACAGCTAGTTGATCTTTGTTTGCCCATGAATGCTTTAACAACACTTTGCGGGTGGAATCATAAGCATTCATTGTATTAAGGCCACTTTAGAAGTGATAGAGCAATAGCATGCAAATTTTGAAAGTTTCATATTGTCCAACATTGCTGATATGTCTATTTTCAATGAAATATATGATGAGATGCCCTTTACTACTTATACTCTACTTTACTTATAATCTACTCTACTTATATTCGACATAGAATGTTTCTTCCAGTCATTTCTGGAATAATATTGAAATGTCTAAATTTCACCTCTATAATGCAATGTAAGGTTTGAACATCTAATTATGTATTATGCCAGTTATAAAAGCTGCTAAAGGCTGAAATTATTGGGTTAAATATACTTTTTATGATAAAAAATATTATAAACTGATCATTTTAGATTTTTGCATGGATTTATATTTTGCATTTTTATAAAGCATAATTACTGTTTACTTTTGCTATATTTTCATTGTTCAAAAATATATTTTTTTAAGAGATTAAATATCATTAGCAGCTCAATTTATTTTGTTTATTTTTTATTTGTTTTTATCTTCTGAAAGGAATGTATTTCAAATTTTGAGTTTTTTATGTACTGGTATTGAAATCATATAATTATTTTTTAAATTTATAAAAAATTTTTTACTTTGAAGTATCCATAGCTAGTACTATAAGTTATTGATCTTTTACAAGAAATGAACAAATTATTAAAGACACAATTTTTACATATTAAAAAATTACCAAATATTTATTAACATCTGTTATATAAATAACAGATATAATTAACATTTGTTTACATATATAAAAACAATTAGTTTAGATATGAAGTATGAAAACATTGTGATTGTGATATATATCAGAGATCATGGAGAGACTGTACTATGATCATATTTAGATAATGAAATTATATTTAATCACAGGACAAAAAGTATCTAAAAATTAAGTTATAATTACAATATACTAATATTTTAATTCTATAACAGTGTACAGTTTAATTTATAGACTAAAAATTTAATTAAAAATAACTTGTAAAATGTGCAAGTAAAAATTGAAAGTTGTATGAATTTATAGATTTATTAAGAACATTCATATTGTTCTGATTTTTTTATTGAAATGAAATGTATTTCTTTGGCATATATTTATATACAGGTAACCCCCGTATAACACGGCACTTCTATAGCACGGATTCGCTCTAACACGGTTCGAGAATTGGTACCATCCCCCGTATAACATGGTACTTTTATAGCATGGATTCACTCTGACATGGTTCGAGAATTGGGTAAAACCCTCGTACAACAGGAAATGTAATAAATTTTTACATACTTAATTAATAATAGTTCACGAAAATTATTATTTTCGTGAACTATTAGTACTTAAGTATGTAAATTTTCTCTTCTCGCCTTCTGTCGATACACGTGGTCCTTCTCGAAACTTGTTTCAATGTTGCCAGATCGCGACGCTTCTGCTTCTGATGTTGCCGAATGTTTTTCCCTTATTCCATACTTGCTTTATTCTTCATAAGTGCTTAGCACCATATAAGGAAATTTATAAAGACCTTTTAACTAGAAGCAAGCAATCTAAAATTACATACATTTTGCAAAAGGTAAAGCATGGATCTGAAGATAATGCAGAAAAATGCTCAGAGGATAAGGATAACTTGCCAAAAAGAAAACGCTCTCGGTTAATTAATAGTGTTTTAGTGATGACGAAGTAAACATTGTTTAATTTATATTAATATGTATCACTTAAAAAATTTTAATGAAGATATTTATCTTAATTATGAAAATAGACTAGCATGTTTTTTAATTTTTGGAACCTAACCCTCCTTTTCGTATTAGTTCTTTGTTTCGTATAACACGGCAATTTTTTGGAACGTAACTACCGTGTTATACGGGGGTTACCTGTATATTTAACAAGCACTACGTACTGTATTGATGAATATGGTACATAGTGCTTGTTACAGCACGGTAAAGATGATGAATACTTTGTACTTGACACTTTAATTAGTACTACATATATTGAGACATTTCTTTGTTGGTTTAATCATTATTTACAAACATAAAGACTACAAAAAATCTTTCTTTTCAGAATAAAATTGAAATTTCAGTATGCCTATTTCAAAAATTAATATTTGATCTCTCTTAATAAATGATTAAGCTATAATTTTAGCTCTAATTTCATAAATTAGAACTTTTATATTATATTACAGTTTTGTAATTAAAATATATGATTTATTATTAATTAATTTTAAAATACTATTAATAAAGTGATATTATTATAGGTACTGAAGATACACAACCACCCACAATTATTCAAAAGTTGACTGATCAAGAAATATTAGTTGGAGATGCAGTAAGAATGGAAGTTAAACTGATTGGTAAACCTACACCTGAAGTAAAATGGTAAGCCGTTTTAAATTTTATTAAGTACTTTTATTATTTATAAAAACGTTAATACAAACTATATTTAAATTTTCAATTACATTTAAAATGTTTATTTTCTTTTACCATTGCTTATTTTGTTAGTCCAGTTTGTATTTGTTTAAACATTCTAAGTAATATTTTAGTTTTAATTTTGTGAAGAAGAAAAATGATGTCTTTCATAATATTACATAAAATATAAAAATCTTTTTATGATTAAAATTATTTAATGAAAATTTTTGTAGTGTCTTTAAATAACATGATGGGATTATAATTAAGTAGACTTGATGATAACTATGAGTTGTCTTCTTGATTTTCATTGTAAATTAAAATTAAGAATTACATATGACACACGAAGCAAAATTTGTGCTGACTCTTTTTAATACCTGTTTATAAGAAGTACTTATTCAAGTAAATAAAGTTTTGTTTTTAATTATAAAAATAAAACTTTATTGACTTTAGTAATTACTATTTATAAATTATAATTTTATAAGTAAAAATCCAATTATTTAAAAAAATTTTTTACATAACCTTTATATCATTATATTATATAATAAATATGAAAAAAGAAACTGCTTGAAATATAAACTTTAAGTCTAAATTAAAAGTCATGTCAAAAATAAAAATTAAGAAATTAAAAATATAAGAAAAAAATGTATTCTGAAATTTTTAAAGTAAATAAAATCTTTACACAGTTAATAAAGCTGTTATTTATTATTAATTTTGTTATATTAACTGTTATATAATAATAATTTTAAGTAATTGAAAACAAAATATATCAAAAGCACATTTAATGGAAATAAAATTTTTAAGATTTTATGATATTTAAATTCCAATAAATAATTAAATTTTCAATGAGATATATTTAAAATATTTTATTATTTATTATAATATTAATGATGTTTAGTTTTAAAAATATTTATATTTCCAACATTTAGGTATCTTAATGACAAAGAAGTATCTTCTGGTGGTAGAATACGAATTGATAGTGTTTTAAGTGATAATTATTATTCACTAACAATTAAAGATGTTACATTAGAAGATGAAGGTAATTACGTATGTAAAGCAGTTAATGAAAAAGGTGAAGCTTCTACTTCAGCAACATTAACAGTAGAAGGTATTTCAGAGTTTTTTTCTATTTATAATAAACTTTCTATAACAATTAAGATTTTTGATGTTATTTTATTTTATGTATCAGTACTATCAAATGTATTTCATCATCTATTCCCATTCATAGACAAAATAATTTATAACTAATTTGTAATAAAAATAAAAAAATGGTTTTAGCCTGCTGTAGTTATTATAAGTTTTATAAATGTTACATGCATTATTCAATTTACAGTATTTCCAAACTTTGTTAATTTTGAAATATAGCAGTAAATATTTATTTTCAACATTAAAAATTTGTTTGTAAGAGAAAAAAGTTAACGAAACTAATTATTTTTGGTTTATTTTCAAATTATATTTAAATTTACATATTTTCTCTTATAATTTCATATTATATCGATATCTATATTATATATAGTGCTATATGCAGAATTTTGATTGATGATGATTTAAATTAATAATTACATTCATTTGAATATAATTTTTCAGTGTGATTAATTCAGCATTTCTTTCTTTGAAAATCAATAATTTAATTTTTCTGTAAACCAACAAGAAATTAAGACTGTGTCATATCTAATTAACAATTGTAATGGAATCATTTTTCAGTATTTATATTGAATTTTTTTATTTAAGAACAAATCCTGAGTATATCCAACTTTCTTAATAGTTTTTTTGGTCGTCAATAATTACAAATTAGAAATAGGAATAATGATGACAATATTTCTGATATCTAGTTTTGTTATGATATTAGTAGAATCTTATTATTATTATAACATTTATAATTATTTAAGTACTTAAATTTATTTTATTTTATTTGTATTTTCAGAATAATATATTATTAATTATTATTACATCAAGTGGTATGTTACAAGTTTTTGAACATCAGTTAAATGGGTAAGTGTATCTTAACAACTTTGACTTTCAAAATGAAAATTTTTGCAGATTTTTTTATGCCATGATTTTAAATATATAAATTTATTTTATAAATTAGTCATATTGAATCATATAATTGATTGTATAAATATAGAAATATTGTGGAATAATATATAAAATATTGGTTTTTATTATCCATTGTGCTAATAAAGTTGTGAAAGCTGTATTCCTACTAAATGATATAAAATGTTCCACAATTCTCTTTTATAGTGTTCTAAAATTTCTGGGAATATAATTCAGTTGTGCCTTTGAAGTATTGTGATATGCCTTCTTAGATACTGATTAGTTTCTGTCAGTCGCAATTATGTTTGTATTGTATTTTATTAATAGTCTGTCATTAATGATTATTTTGAAACATGAACCATGTCTATCAACATTATTCTTGTTTCATATTTATTCTTCAAAATGTGAAAATACATATTGGGTTGTTTGGAAAGTAAGTTTGTTTTTTTTTTGTGAAAAAAAACAATATTTTTATAATAAATAAATATTTTATTGAATTATATATCAACCATTTTGGTCAAATACCTGTTGTCATCGTTTCTGATAGTAGCATGATTTCACATTATAAAAGTTTTGATTGTTGCTTACAAAAAACTGATCCAAGTGATTTTTGACATTGTCATTTCAAGTAAATGTCTTACAGTTAAAAAAAATTTGTACAAGATTGGAACAAGTAATAATCTGAGTATGCTTGATCTAGCAAATATGGTTGGTGTGATAGCATGTTCCATCTAAGTTATAACAGTTTCTGTTACCAAACTTGTGTGAAATTTGACATTATCGTGGTAAAACACTACACCTGTTTTGTTGATCAATTCTGATCGCACTTTCTGTTTGATGATATTACTCAATTTGTTTACTCAATGGCAGTACACTTTTGAATCAATTGTTAAATTGGTAATAGCTCCAAAAAAAATTTCCTTAAAATCTCACCAAAGAGAGCATCTCTTTTTAAGAACATGTGGAACCCATATATCAAGCTTTGAAACGAAACCAATTTGTTTCAAGTAATCATAAACAGCTCAGTTTGACAAATTTAATCTCTTAGTGATTTCACGTGTTGTTATTTGGCAGTTTGCTTCAATCAGTACTTTTATTTTGTTTTCATTGGCTTCAACTGGCCATCCAGAACGTGGTGCATCTTCAATATTGAAATTGCCAGAATGAAATTTTGTAAACCAGTTTTGGCACTATCTTTCTCTTAACACATCATCTCCATACACGTCACACAATTTTTTTCTTGCTTGAATTTTTTCAGTAATAAAAGAGAAAAATATGCCAAAAATGTTGCTTTCGATCTTCCATATTTGATGGAACACAAAAAATAAGCAATTGCACGAAATCAAACAAAATTTTTTACAAATAAGCCTTAAAGTGCTAGCTGTCAAAATATATAATGATAATACAAATTAGAATGAAAATGGCAGTAAAAATACAATTAATCCGTCTAGTAGTAAAAAAACGAAATTACTTTCCGAACAACCCAATATTTTTTGCTGTCAAGGAACAACTATGACTAAAGAATTACATGCTAAGATTTCTGGAATAAAATTTATCTTGTTGTTTATATAAAATATCCAAAAGTTGCTAATACAAAATAGTTTCTCTATTATAATAAACATTTATTTATCGTGACATCATCACAATGCCAGGCTGCAACTTCTAAAAAAAATTTAATTGAAAGATACACTTTTCATACCTGGTCTCTATTTTCATCTATCTAACTCTGTTCTCAAGATTATGAATGATTGATGACAATGGGAATCTATAGATCTGCAATTGCAGCCCAATAACATTAAATTGAAAACTGTCAATATTGTACTGTGCAGTCAGTATTATTATTTGATTAGAAGTCCTGAAACATCTCCCATATTTACTGGCTTTAGTCCAAAGCAATTTTTCAACTTCTATTTTTAAAGAAAGCTCTGAAAGAAAGGTGCTTTGCATCTGATGAGGTATGTGAAGCCACAATGACAATTTTTTGATAGCTATTCAACAAATTCCAGAAAGCATGTGATGTGTGGGTATAGCAAATAATGTATTGATTATAATTCTTATATTTAGTTTTTAGAAAGAATATACATTAATGTGATAATTTGAAAAATGTAAAAATCTAATAAATATATTTTCTGACATAAAATACTGGCACACACAAACTGGAACAATATACTAAACAAACAATTTGACACCTAAANCCAACATCCGAATATAAAATTTAAAAAAAATGTATGAATACTCTGCACTCAAGTTTTGAGTTTAGTGTAAAATAAAAATTTGAATTGAATATGAACTTACAAACCTATAAGTTTTAGAACTTTTTTTGTAACTTAAATATTTCTGTGGAAAGAGATTTCAATATTTAGTATTAGATTCCTAAATATAAGTATCCCTTGTACAACACAGTACTTCTGCAACTTGGTTTGAAAATTAGGGATATTACCATACAACATGACTTCTGGTTTTGCTCTTACACAGTTTGGGAAATCTTCTGTACAAAATTTCACAATTTTTAAGTGTAAACTCTATTATTCAATAATTTTTTTATTCAAGTAAGCATGTGTGTTGTCTCAAATTTGCCCATGGATTTTAGAATATTGAGATTTTCAATTTGTTTCATCAGGTTTACTTTAATGAAAACTGATAGTACAATTTTTTTTTTTTTATCATAGCATTCTTATTAACCAGTTGTTGTTGTCAGTGCTTTTGGATTTTATCCTTTAAGACAGTGGTTCTCAACCTTTTTTGTTCATGTACCCCATTAGCCCATTAGTTGTTTCTCAAATACCCCTTATATTTTTGTATGTAAATTTTATAATTACTGTGTTAGATGTATACAGCCCTTATAACTGAGTGCCATAAAAAATCTCTAACTAACTATAACTAAAAGTGAATTACTTATTTTACGTAAATAATAAATTTAATCAGGTACATACATTTATTTATTATTATTTGATAAGTATATTATATAAAATCACAGAAGTCATTTCAATACAAGCATAAATTACATTTCCTAAAAATAAATAATTATAATTAACGGTAAAGAAAATTTAAATTATTCTACAATAATTTTTAACAAAATTTAATGGTATATTTGTTGTGATAAATCTTCAGCAATTTTTTCAAAATTTGGTTCCCACATTGTTAAATAGAGATTATAATTGTGTACTGGCCTTGAAAGTAATGGCTGCGAATTTATAACGTGCAGAACAATACACGAATCTTTCAATTTTTGTAATAAACGTAACATCTAAATTTGCTAAATATCAAGTAATGTGTGCATGCAGTGACACGCATTGCATGGTGGGGTATGATCCATTCCTCATTATTCCTAATACCAGTAGTCCAGTAAAAATACAAAAAGCCCCAATCTCATTGAGCAATAATTATAGAATAGAAAAAAAAATTTTTCTATTCTAAAATTAATGCTCAGTTAACTGTAATTTTACTAGATTACAGGTTCACTCGGCATTAACGGCACAAATAGACAGGCAAATCAAGTGGATAAACAAGTTGTTTGTACTGTTAGAAGGGAAATTGGTGTTCGTACTGGAATATTTTAAAGCATGTTTTTGTCGTTTCTTGTTTCTTGTGTCAATAATTTACAGCAAATTGTTTAACATACACCATTTTATAATGAAAGTTAGATGTACCCTTTCAATTTATGCTTGTACCCCTAGGGGTACATGTACCTCCAGTTGAGAACCACTGCTTTAAGACCTACTGTGTTTTTATAGATTAATTTTATTAATTAGTAAAGTTTATTTAAACATTTTTAGATAAGTGCTATTAAACATTTTTTAACTGTAGATAAGCAATATTCATAAAATGATAAATGAAATAATTCAGTATCTTGGTACTCAAAGAATTTGATATTCAAATACAAATTTTGATAAAAAGTCACTTGGTACTTAACTAAACAAATGTGACCTGCTAGAATAAATTTTTGATTAAGAACATATTTTTATTTCGTCATTCATAAAAGTTTTTTATGATAAAAATAAAAAATATGAAAATGTTGCTGATACTTCTGATCAAGATCAACAAAAATGCTGAGATGATTTATGATACTTTGTAAAAAGAAAACATTCTCATTTAACTAAAGTTAATATTAATGCTTAATACAGTACATTTAATTGTGATTGTTAATTAATTATTAATTGAAAATAAATTAACGATTACTTTAATAATCATATTTCTCTTAGTGACAGAAAAGAATAGTATACTTTTGCTAACTTCTGGAACATAATGCTACGTTTTGCATTAATCCTTTGTTTTGTATAGCACAGAAGATTCACCTAACACTGCACTTTTTCAAAACATAATTATTGTGTTATAGAGGGATATGTGTATATCAAATTATATTTAGAATTTGATATTGTCTAAACATTGAAATAGTTTTCTGTTAACTTTTAAATTGTTAATTATAGTAATTTTTTTAAACTATGCATGCTGTATATTTAATATAATATCATATAGCAAGTACAGTAAAGCATCGATTATCCAAAACAATTTGGGACTGGGTTGTTCGGATAATTGATTTTTCGGATAACTGATTATGTACTAAAAAATATATTAACCTATTCCATGTTGAAATTCGTTCAAATCCTTGTGTGTCCTTAAGTACCATCTCATGGTTGCACCAGTGCTGCCAGCTAAAACATGCACACCAACAAAAATAATATTGGAGTAGCCCAAGACATAGACAAATATTGCAGCACCACAGCACTAGCAGAAATTTAAATTTGCTGACTGGAACACTTTTGGTTAACCGATGTTTTGGTTGACTGATATTTGGATAATCAATGCTCTACTGTATATTGATTAACAAAATATTTCCAGCATTATTAAGCTCATTCCAATTTTTACATTGAAATTGATTTCAAAAATTTCTAAATATATTTTTTTATATAAGAATTGAAGACAGAGTCAAAATGAAATCAAAATTTTATTGACCAGTCAAATTGCTGAGCAAGGAACACCATTTTTAAATTCTGTTGTTCATAAATATAATGGCTACAGTTATGAATTAGAATTTATAACTACAGTTCCTCCAAATTCAGTAAAAGGTGATGTGAAAATTCAAAGTAAATATCAAGAGTTTTTAAACTTACAAAGCTTTAGGATATTTAAAATCTCATTATCAAGAAATGCAAAATATTTCAAAAATTATATTCTTTGTATTTAAAAAATCCAAAGAATTTCTATTCATTAATATTTTGAAAATTTTTTTAACTTTATCTTAAGTTATCAATTATAAAACTAAAGTGAATGTTTTCTTGATAACAGAATCAAGAGCGCATTCTTTTAGAACTTTCAATAAACAAGATATAAAAAGAGAAAACAGAAAAGTTTTTAACAGAAAAATGAAAGACATAATTTCTACTTTCAAGCTATTAAAAAAATTTTCTGTTGGTTTTACATGAAAATGTTTGACCCAACAGAACTTATTAAAAATTCCTTATAAAATCAATAAAAAATGTCTATATAATAAAGTAATCTATAAAAATATGAAAACATAATTAATTCTGTGCATAATCAAATCACATTTATCAATTAAAAAAATAGTTATTTATAATTATTTCATTATTTCCTGTTTAAAGTCTTAAATATCAGTTATTTTCTTAATTAGTCTTGTTTACTTTGTTTTATAATTATAACTGATCTTTACTAATTTTCTAATTTCAGATATTTTGCTGTTAAAACCTACTGTTTAAATTTAAATATAGAAATTTTTAGATTAACATCATTTACATGAAAATAAAGTATATGAAGTTTTAGTATATTAATGATTCTAATATATTTTAAAGATGGTTTTCTGTCTATAGTATTGACTATATTTTGCCAAGAGAGGATAAGTTACAGCATCAATTTGAGGAAATTTCTTTATATTAAGTTTTAATTATATGAACACAAAGTTTTAGAATGAGGACATTGAAACATGTACAGTACAATCAAGCAAAAATATTATAAGTTCAAATCTGTTAAAAGTGAATGATGACTTAGTTGGAAGTTTAATAAAAATTGGTCTATTTGAAATAATTATAGACTCTTGTAAGCATTAGTCATGAATCAACTTAAAATTGAAATTATTATGAGCAAGTTATTTAACTTGATGAAAAGAATAGCGAAATAAAAATGAAGTTTTCATATATCCTATATAGACTAAGTGAAATCTTTTAAGATAATAAGTGTTAATTTTAATGAAGTTAATGATATTTTAACATCTTATTGGTGATAAATAAAAAAATTTTCCATTGTTAGTATGTTTTATTTTTTGTAGAATCCACATCATTCAACTGTAATTAAATCTATATATTTTATATTATTCTCACAAATATTATTACTATTTTTTATAACAAATTCATTAGTTCTAGATAATTTACAAGATTTAATATTATGAATAAATTGAATATTTGTTTTTAAAAAGTGTATAAATCAGATAAAAATTAATATTTTTTCAGGTTAAAAGATGACAAATCTCTTCATGAATCAAATAATATTGTTATTTCTGGTGATGATGGTCATTTTTCAGTAATTATAAGAAGTATCAAAGAAGAAAATATTGGAACATACAAATGTATTGCTAGTAATTCTGCTGGAAAAGCTGAAAGTAAAGGTGTTTTATCTATTAAAAGTAAGTACATATTAATTAATTATTTTCATAAATTTACTTATTCTGAAACCATGTGTACTTTTAATTATTCTTTACTTCACAACTGAGTGTGTAGGTAGACCTAGTGTCTACCTATGCACCCAGTTGTGAAGTAAATAATATTTTTATAAAATTAGTTTATGTAATTGTCTAGAAATTTGACTTATTAACAATGAATTAAATGTTCTACATATATTATTTATATAATATATAATGCTTTATCATGCCATTTTTATTTTATTCAGAATGTAATTTTTAAAGAATTTGATAACAGTTGCAATATTATGTATTGTGAGAACTGAGGGAATTAGTTGTCCTTATTTATCAGCAGCTCTGTCAGAGGATGGCTTTATAGGAGGGAAAAATAAAATGAGTGGGGAGGTTAATGGGTAGGTTGACAGGTTCCCAAATAAATACACAAGTTGAATAAGAATAACACATTTAATAAACAACTATAAAATTGTACATATCAAAGGTGAAAGTGAAGAGTTACAAAAATTCTATTCTACGTTGCGATAATGATTTGTCTTTCATATGGAACATCTAATTTCTATTCTCTAAGTTAAATTAAGAGATGAGGGAGACACCTCTCGGAGAAAGACTTCTCAGAGAGAGAGTATACAAATAGATATCCAAAAAGAATACCTCTAAGTTCCCGATCCGTAATATGGGTCGTTGGTAAAAATGTTCCTGGATCATCACGGCAGTTATGGCAAGGTAGTGATGGATAGGGTGGTGGTATGGGTCAGTAGATGTGGCAGTAGATGTCCGCCCTGGAGGTGTTTGCCTTGTGGACTGCATCCATGCTCTCTTCATACTATTTTTGAGGGGGTGAGAACTATGACATCATTAATGATTTATACGCACACTTGTTCGTGTGTTGATGTCTGGATCTAGCTAGTACAGACCCCTGGCACAGAGAAGTTTGTTTAATTTATTGATATCAGTGTCTAGAACAACGGTTCCCAACCTTTTTTGGATGGCGATCCCCTTTTTATAAAAGCCAAGTGACCCGCGACCCCGATACAATTGAAAAAGGTATTTTTAATAAGGTAATTAAAAAAACAATGAAATTAGTTTTTTAGTATAATTTTATTTTAAATTATGTTTAATAATTAATTTAATGAGATGGTTGAAATTGCATGTATTATTAACCAGTCTCAAAATTCGCGGGTGAGATTTTGTTAACGCCAACCTCATGTCATTCTCAACATTTAATTTATTCCTCTCAAAACTCTCAACACACGATTCAACCAACTGTGACAGAATAGCGTACTCAGATTACACTTATTTTAATTTTTTAAAAATATATGAAATTATTCAAACTTTAAGACACCATTAAAAATAAATATTGCATTATAGTGAAAATTTTGTTTTAGTTTACTGCATAAGTTGGCGACCCCACAGAAAACCCGTCGCGACCCCCTTCTGGGTCGCGACCCATAGGTTGGGAACCCGT